ATTGCTTATTCAGCGGTCGGCTAAGTCGTTGCAATTTTTTTGGGGACCAAAAAAAAAAAAAAAATGTATCCTCTTACCCCCCCCCCCCTTATTCAGCGGTCGGCTGAGTCGTTGCGATTTTTTTTGGGACAAAAAAAAGAAAAAAAAGTGACCTCTTACCCCCCCCCCCCCATTATTCAGCGGCTGGCTGAGTCGTTGCGAAATTTTCGGCCCGATTTATAAATGTTAAAACCCCCCCCCCCCCTTGAAAAAATCCTGCGTACGCGCCTGCTTGGCACTAATGTCCTTTGGCAAGACATTGATCTACATTTGTCACACTCAACCCAGGTGATGTAAATGAGTACCTAGCAGGAATTAATTTCTTGGAATGCTAGATCGCCGTAAAGCCAGGGTAATATTCTGGAGCACCAGGAGTGTCAAGTCTGATAGATATGAACACTATTCAAGAACCCGATATTATTATTTTTTATAATCATTTGGTTTGAACAATTGGTTCTTGCAGTGATCTTCATGTAGACTTATTTGTGGATTTTGAAACATACACTGCATGATTATCTGCTCATAGGTCCATATTCTCCCAGTATTTGTACATAACCTTGGCCTAAGGTGATGTGAACATCAGGTTTAACAAAGGAAGTTAGTCTGAGGTGTTATTCTAGGTCTTTGATTAATGAACTCAGGTGTCAATTATGACAGCATATCATACTTCCATGTTGAGGCATTTTGAGTAAATTCTAATTTTTCCAATTGCCTTGTAAAATGTTTACTTTATTTAAAGACTACTCTTCAAGTCGTCGTAAAAATCTACAAAACATTTTTAAAGTTTAGACCAAAACAGGTATGAATGTTGAAAATTGTAATAGTCAATTCAAGACGACAAATGTGCAATGGTTCTTATATTGTGTCTTATGGTATAGTGAGCTATCTGATGTATGGACCGTTCAGTTCCTTTGCTCCTGGCTATGATTCAACCTTTGCTAACCTGAGTAAAGAAGAATCGGATCTTATCTACAGCACCTATGGAGATGAGGACGCAGTCAAATATGCAAAAAGGTAATTTGCAAGATATCTTTATTCATTGATTAATGTATTGTTGATTGAGTGATTCATGTTTATTTCATCAGGGTATCATTTCACAAAACTATCTCTATCTGTTTTATTAGTATCCAGGAGTATGTAAAGGATAGTGTAGATGAAGATGAGCTACAGGTGTTATATCATTCTGTTTTATTAGTATCCAGGAGTACGTAAAGGATAGTGTAGATGAAGATGAGCTACAGGTGTTATATCATTCTGTTTTATTAGTATCCAGGAGTATGTAAAGGATAGCGGTGATCATGTGAACAAAATGGTTGACAGTCTCCTAGACTCGCTTACCGATGGAGAGCATAGCAAGACAAAAGAACACATCAAACAGGTGAGTTTAATGACATCCTTGTGAAGAGAGGAAATTCTTTGCTTGTAGTTTGAAGATATTAAAGGATGATAGTTCATGAGGTGTAGTCCAGAAGTTTTACGAATAGTGAGAAGAACCTGCTTGAGCATTTACACCATTTGTTGTTGTTCTTATCAATCTATTCATACTTAATAATATACTTAATATATATATATATATATATATATATATCTGTAAAGCGTTTTGAGAGGGCCTTCGGTCCTGAAAAGAACTAGCTATTATTATTATTTATACATGATTGTAGCACAGAAAAAGGTTTGGAGAAGTTAAATGCTAGCAGATCGGTAGGAAAAAAGGCCGGGAGCAAGATTTACTTTGATTTACTTAGAGATTCATCAAGGTTTAGCTTGGATATATTGAATGAAAGGAAATCATTTGGACATTTTTTTATATGATGTGTTGACTTCAGTTTTAGACATAAAGAAATGTCCAAATTACTTCATTCTTTTGACATGTACATACATGTATCTGTGAGGACGGACAAAGAAGTCTACAGGATTCCTACCAGATCGCCTACTGTGTGTAACTTACCAATACTTGATTCTGTAAAGCTATGTCATAATTATTACCGGTAAGCTGTGCACATTACAGCCATTGTAGAGAGTTTGTAATGCCAATCTTGGGTATCTTTGTCTCCGCTCCAGAATCATGAATTGAAAGACTTCCAAGCTGGGCTAGGAGATGCAGGAAGCAAGGTAAGAATGCTTAAAGCCCCTCTAAAGTGTTGGGAGTCCAAAATTTGCCCAAAATTTGTTGACAAAAACTAACTTAAATTGTACAATGATGTGAAAGGGTATGTCTTTTAAAACGCACATTTGCAAGGAGTTTCATAACAAATGTTTTTGAAGACGAACATTGGTGACAGAATGCCATATTTGGGTTCCCTGTTTTATGCAGAAAACCTGAATTTTGTAATGAATAAATGAAAGTAATGACAATTCTGTATGTTGTAGGAATAATGGTTTGGAATTGAGTCTTGATTGACAGAAACAATGTTTGTTCAAAGTATGAAACAGTTCAGAACATGAAGTAAAATGAAGTAGAGGGATTTGATAATTTGACACAAATGTTTGTATTAAGAACTGTAAAGAAATGTCTTGCATCCTGTAATAATTGCATTGGAATTTTTAAGCTGTACTTAAAAGCAAAGTGATTGGAGATATTTTATCTTTGAATGGGTTCAATATTCAATTTAATTCAATTCAAAGCTCATTTCCACTCAAACAGTTGAGCATAAGAAATGAAACAGAGATAAATATGTTTAGAACTGTATTTCAGGCATAGAATTTGATAAAAAGAAGTGATAAAAAGGGTTGCCGTAGATGTTTAAAAGTAATGGTTGACAATGTACAACATACATACAAGGAAATAAATGAGTTGGAATGTAACATTGAATCAATTAAAATATTGTTTATTGTTAAATCTTTTATCTAAAAATCTTTATCTAAAACCTTAACTTTCTTTTGTATTTGTATATCCATTGATGACTTGATATATTTAACCACTACCTGTATCATATGAAGACACTACAATTTCTGTTTATATATCCAGACAACAGACAGTGCAGGAGGAAAAACTTCAAATCAAGATGACAAGATTGACTTTGAAGGTCTTAAATCTCTGGCTGATGAAGGGATTGACATGTCATTCCTGCCAGGTTTAGGTAACAAACATGAGCTTTTTCTTCCCTCTCCCCATCTGTCTCTGTCTCTCCCTCTCAGACACAAACACAAACACACACTCTCTCTTTCTCTCTCTCTCTCTCTCTCTCACACACACACACTCTCTCTGTCTGTGTTTCTCACATAATCTCTCTCACTCTGTGTGTGTCTCTGTGTTAAGAGGAAATTACTGTTGACCCGTACATTTATTGTACAGCCTAATTCATTTTTGATCACACCTCTGATTTGTTTTAAAGGAAATAAGGGGTATAATTCAATTTAACATTGTAGACTGTATAGTTCGTAGATAGTACATGAATATCAAATATGTCAAAAGAGATTTCTCAGAACATAGAATAACCCTGAATATCTCAAATAGTTGAGGATGGCACTAATAGCAGAGCTCAAATTCTGCTGGGATCTTTGGGCTAAGGTCAGTTTTTATAAAGGATGCTTCCAGTTTTCGCAGCAAAGTATTGAGCCTAGCTTACAACAACTTTACGGTATATGATTTTTAAAGAACATGGCATGTGTTGATGAATATCATTTTCACTCTAAATGTTTCTTTTTTTGTCTGTTAGCGTGAAGCCGTGCTTCCAATGAAGGTAGATCCCTTGGCTTGTTAAATATGATTGTTAAGTTTGAAGATTTCCTCTCTTGTTTGTGTTTGTCTATCAGAGAAAGAGATGGCCATGATGGACAAGATACAGAGTGAGACAGAGAAAGAGGTTGATCAGAAGCTTGGTAAGACTGCACAGCTCATCAGGGATCTAGAACGAAGTCAGAATGAGCGTCTCAATCGCAAACCTCCTCCTCATCTTCAGTATATCCAAGGTCCATCGGATCAAGAGCATGCCATAGCTGAAAAACTTACTCAACAACTCAAGGAACTCACTGCCAAGGTAAGGCTAACATAGAAGCTTATAATAAAAGTAATAGTAATAATAATCATGATAAAACAACAACAACAATACTATTAATATGGCACATTTTTATCATGCCTGGGGAATATTGCACAAAGACTAAGATCGACTTTAAGTTGGACTTAACTATGTCAGGCCATTTATGACACTGGTTGCTCTCACCATTGGTCTCTCAATTATGATCTTTAGATGATATTTTTTCCTTCAATAATGAAACATAACAAAATGTAAATTCTGTAGATTCGTGACCATGATTTGTAATTCCCTCAAGAAACCAATGCCATGAATGGTTAGAGGAACTAATGGCATGAATGGCCTGCCATAGTTGAGTCCAACTTAAAGTTGATCTTAGTCTTTGTAAAACACTCCCCTGATATTATGTTTCTAGGCACCATGGTGCTGTTGTCCTAGCAGCCATTAGGTAAAGCATAGCACTGCTACCCAATAGAGAGCTAGGACAACAGCACCACAATTACTTGTGGCAGGACACTAATCTGTATTTGCCACTCTCCACCCAGGTGTTAAAATGGGTAAGGGTATGGAAGGAATTCCTTGAATGCTGTGAGCACCAAACTCTGTATCCTAGCAGAGCCGGGGTAATATTTGAGTTCCTTGAGGACCTTGCATGGTGGATATGTGTACTATACAGATATCCAATATTATCATCATTATTATCATTATTAGTATTTGCACCGTACTTAATACTTTCACCTTTTCCTCCATTGTACACAGACATTACCAGGTCACCTGGTTCCTACTGAGTCTGTTCGTAAAGCTATGGGTATCACTATGGAGCCACTGTTAGATTCACCACCGCCCTCTATAGCTACCTCACAGACTGCTCCCAGCGAAACTACAGAGGGCAGTGCAGGTCTACCTGACGACAATGCCCTGCCGGATGACATCGCTAAGGAGCTTGAGGCGGATGATACCGGTACCACCGGGGATGAGGAAGGAAAGGGAGATGATGACGATGTTGATGCTGAGGTTGGAGATGAACTCTTGGAGCTGTTGCGGGACAAAGATGAGGGATCGTAGAAAACAATACCTGACCTTTTCTTGAAGGCCCTATTGCCACATAGATGACATTCTTCTCTGTTTTTTTGTTTTGTTCTATATATCTTGTTTTTTCATGCCAACTTACATGTAAAAGGCAAATGCAAAATGTGATGTAGTCTTTTATACATAGCATTCATTCATTTATGTAATACCTTAGTAACACCTATGAGACTGACGCTAGTTAGACAGGCCGCAACATACCAGCTTGATTAAAGCACAGTATTAAGTGATCATGCTTCTACGTCTCTGTGAGGCTCAAAGGCACTGTCAAGTGTGTGGGGTGACCTTGGACGGTGCGACAGTCTCACAGAGATGCAGAATCCTGATGACTCAATACTGTGCTTTACTCAAGCTGCTGCATATCCTGAGCTAACCATGTTATTACCTCAAATGGCCAAGATCTGGAATCTGTCACTTTTGTATAAGTTTGGATTTAGGCTAGTGTAGTGGAGGTGTCCTGGTCTAGTGGAAACGTCACCTGACTGTGGATCACATGGTTCACAGGTCAAGTCCTGCCGTGGCACTTTTGCCTTTGACAAGACATTAATCTACATTTACCACAATCAGCTCAGGTTAGGTAAATGGGTACCTGGTAGGAATTCCTTGAAATGCTATAGTGCCGGGTTTGATAATTTGTTCCCATTTTTCACGAAGTGACGGTAATGAGGAAAATCCGCACACAAATCGTATGCGATTTTCATTCACTACCGTCACTTCGTGAAAATAGGGACGAATTGTTGAGTGCCAGGAGTGTCAAATCTGACAGACATGAGCGCAATACAAGAACCCACTGTTATTATTATTGTTGTTATTATTATTAAACCATAATTAAACAATGTTTGCATGCAACGATCGAAGCCCAGAAGTCAGCCATGTACATATCAATGTCCTCATTAACTCATTGCCATGCACTGGCAACTAAATTTTGTGTATTCTTTATGTTTTATTCATCATTTTTTTGTATAAACAGCTTGCCTTACTGATGACTTTGCTTGTCCAAACCTTAGATTATTGTTGATAGTGTAGGCCTACAATCATTTAATTAAATTATTGAGCATGGTATCCTGTGTGGAGGATGTTTCCAACCAAGTGATATTTGGATGAAAATGCCATGTTTTGTAAATGTACCTGTATTTATGTAATAAAAGCCATTCCATGTACAGATAATTCTTGTATATCGTTATGTTTTGTTGTATGCAAGTATTACCAGGGGGTAGGGAGGGGGGGGGGGGGGGTGTGTATGGGGTAAGCCACGGCTTGACACTAACAGGCGCCCGAGACATATGGGCACCAAAAATCTAAGTTTGGACCCCAAGAAATTTGAAATCTTTGGGGGAAATTAATGAACAAAGTTGCTTAAAGTCACTCTATGTGGTAGCATGTTATAGATAAATGAAAAGGGATACTTACCAGAAAGGAAAAAGGACACTTGTTAGATTTTAATAGGGGCAATTATCAGAATATTTCCTGCTCCTAAAAAGAGGAACTCGCCAGAGATGAAAAGGGGCACTTATCCGAGAATGGGAAAGGGGCACCTATCAGATTTTAATAGGGGCACTTAAGAGAAGGAAAAGGGGCACAATAGGGGCATAAACGTAACATTGGATGGGATGATGTCTATGTTAACGAGTTTAAAAATTAAAATATATTTTGACCAAAAAGGATTAGTTTGAATTTTATATTAATTGCTCATTGAAAATAGATTGCCTCCTGATTTTACTACATTGATCTCTCTAGATAGCGATTCACTTTGTGAAGAATTAATTTGACTTGACAAAAATACACTGGAGTGGATGAAAGCCATTAAAGTTAGGTCAAAGCATACATACATACATAGTTAACATTATACACATGTCCTGCCCAATTCTTATTAAAAAGGTGCATTCTGATCAATAGATGTACTAAATTGTTTCAAGTGTGCCTCCATATTATAATAATAAGTTATACTTCTTATTATGTATACAGCCCTTCTCCACTGAATGTCTTGTATCTTTAAATTGCAATCAAACTCTTATAATAAGTTCATTTTGTGTGAAATTAGAAAAATATATAAAGATGGGGAAAGTTTTTTTTTTTCTTTCTCCTAGCACAGTTTGCTATTAAGGATGGATTTCCCTTTACCGTAAATCTCTGTGTATAAGACGCACTTTTTTGACGCTGAAAAAAATTGAAAGTCGGGGGTGCGTCTTATACACAGGAACAATTTTTTTTTTGCCCCCAAAATAGAGGTGCGCCTTATACACAGGTGCATCTTATACACAGAGATTTATGGTAAGTTTTATGAAGATACAACCATTTAGCTAGAGTGAGTTTTTTCTTTATAATAATGAGCTAGTATGTCTGCTCTTTGTTGTGTACAGTTGCAATTCACTTACACATCGTAAATAAAATGTACCCCATTTCATATATGTAAGAGCTGCGGCAGTGGTTAGAAGGAAGCCGTCATACTTTACCTCGTGGGCATACTTCAGAGCAATATTGAGATTTGATCATCTTTACATGACCGATAAAAAAAAGCAATTATCAATGACGGAAGTACAGTAATGATAATTAGTCTCATTTATTATGCATCATTATTGAGTAAAAGACAATTTTGTACATAAACATTAACAACAATATAGGAAATAAAAAAGTTTTCTTGTCATGCCAATTTTCATGAATGTAAATTCACAAAAATGTTTCAAACAGTACTAAATAAGACATGAAAGCTCTAAATCTGATTCTTTATAATTACTTTTCTTCACCTTTAAGATTCAGAAATGAAATAAAATAATTCATTCAAATCTTGAAGTGAGTTTGTTTTCAGAATCCTCGTGAATAACAGATACAAAATTAATGCTCTCTTTAACCAAGCATAGAAAAAATGTAGAGAAACTATGATAATTGATAGTCATTTGAATTTTACGGTAAATATTCTTTCAAAGAAACTATCTTCAGGCTTAACAACCTAAATTACTGTGAATGTTATCCTGTTAATAGTAACATACAGATGTAATGTAGCATAGAATTCGCAGTCCACACAAATGTAAATAGCTAGTTTTTTTTTTATACTACATGTATCTGCTCTCCAAATAATTCATCATTATATGAACACTTCTTCACAGTTTCAAAAATTCATATTTTTTACCCCATGTGTTTATTCATCTAGAGCAAGATTTTTTTTCACATAAATAATGCACTTATACAAAAATATTAATGACTCATGAAGAAGACAGCAAGTTAACACAAAAAGAAGGAAAAAACACTGGCTGCTTACATTTATCCAAGTCTTGTTCAAAATAAAGACTGATTATTGCAGGATCTGAAATGATTATTGTTTACTTTTAACATTTTCTGAAATTTGTAACCATATTTAGCTTTCAAATCTGTCTTTGAGAGCTTGTACTTAACGAGTCACACCACTATTATCCGCACTATTCAATATACCCCTAACATCTACCGGTACATAATATGTTTTATCTGCATTTGTCTCATGAAGGCTTCTTAATGAAGACGTTAAACCAGGTACAAGGAATTAAAAAAAATTGAACATCATCTGTTGATGAGTACACCAAGATACCATTTTGTCGAGTTTTCAAATCACTTGGTATTCATGTTACAAGGATGTATAACCATGATACATACCCAATATTAAACTCATTACCAAATCTACATGTAATGATGAGATACAATTCGTATTGTAACATTCATTGCATAACTGTGGCCGGTAAGGGTATGAACAGCACAGCATCAAGAATAAATGCATAAATTCATTGAAGTACAAAGAGCATCGGACCTACAAAAGGCATACACTATAACATAACATATATATCTACACAGTCTGTAATAACAATATAAGACAAACATATTTCTTCTTAGACACGTAAATGGCTATCTACAATATTATATATTATTTACATATACAAAGATGTAGGGATATACAATTTCATTTAATATCATACAATTTTTTATTTTTTTTTGTATATCCGATTGAATCATCAGTAAACATCCCAAGGTTTACTTCTTTCATAATCAAAATGATTTTTGACAAATCTTAGGAAACATAATTAAGTATAAATTTCTCACCAAGATCCCTCCCTAAAAAAAAAAGGCTCTCAGCGGGCCAGGGCTTAATATTAAAGGGTTGTTCAGATACAATAAAATACAATTTTTCAAAATGTTTGGTATGCAAACTTGTGTGTAAGCATACCTTTAGTTACAGGTGGCTCCTTTCTGGCTACTTTCTTGAGGTTTAACTGACATGGGGGACCTTAGGAATCTTCAGGTTTTAAGAATGATATCATACTCATAGTGATATCAATGCCGCTTGGTCAAGTGGGAGGTGGATATCATGCGTTGAACAATGATAAAAGTATTAGTACATGTATTAAGTATTTGGCGTGGAGTAAACAGCGACTTACCATGACCCATACAGATAATGATAACAGTTTTCATTTTGGAGAGATCTATAATGGCGAGTATGAGTACAACGTGTAACTCACATTTTCCATTTATTGATATCATTTTAAGCTCATGTACAGCTTTGGTAGCATAAAGGAAATTGGAAAGAATCATATTAGATATAATCTCAAATTGTTTTCCTTGTATCAAAACATACATGTAGGAGATCATTTGGTATTCAATCCATGATATCTAGTGAAAAGTAGTGTAAATATCTGCTAGGAAGGCTAGATAATGGCTATACACTTACCCTGTACCAGGACCCTTCCACCCAGATGGCTCTTTCACTTAGAGACAGCACGCACATAGAGACTGTGTATTCACACAGCCTTCATAGGTTTTACATGTGTAGTGCAGGATACTATTGTTATAATTCACACCCCAGGATGGAATCTGAATTATTTTTTACTTCTCATTTGTTTAATATATCACTTGAGGACAAAACAAACTCTCAGCAGCTTAGTATTGCTAGTATCCTCCAACATATCATGTAAAATAAAAAAAAGAGGGGGGAATTTTTTTTAGAGGGCTTTATACCAAAACTGTACACGACCTTTAATATATAGGTATATATGCAATTCCTATGCCTTGTGACTACTGATTCAAAAAATTTGTCACCATGAGAGATTCAAGGAATATAGTCCAACTTTGTTGATACAGTCCATCACCATCCACTTGGATTCACTAAAGAAAGAATCCAATGATTCATCCAGAACCAGGCTCTAGCCCTCCTGGCCAAAGTCTTCAGTGAATTTGACCTGTTTTAACAAGTCTGCGTCATTGACAGATGGCTTGGTGTTCTCAATAGCTTTGATTAGGTCTTTCTGTAATTAGAAACAAAACAAGGAGCAATGGATGAAAGGGGTCAAGAGAGGAATAATATACATAACATATTGCGGGCCTTAAATTTCAATATTTTTAGGGCAAGGCCACTTTTCTGTAGGGCACATTCCTATATTACAGCACAAATAGGAAGAATTGGAAAGGGCACAAAAAATCTCTGAGGCCAATGAGAGGGGCATTGAGACCAATCAAAGGGGCATCCACGGCCATGGCCTTGGATTAATTTAAGCCCTGTATTGGTTGACAAAGATGTGATCGTTTCAAGGGAAATCCAACCTTGATAGCAAAGTACGCTAGAAAAAAGGAGAAAAATGAGAAAAGCAGCCTGGTGAAAGTTTGAATGAAATCAGACAAAAATTGAGAAATTTCTAAATTTTTGGAAGTTGAAAATCACTATAGGTGTGGGTTCTTTGAATTGGCTGAATTGGTAACGTCCCTGCGATATAGTGGTGGACTACTTTCCAATTTGTTCCGATACACCAAATGACTACAATTTCAATTTAAAAAAATGTATGACTCAGGGAGCTCTTATAATAATCTGCTACCCATAACATACTTTGAGTAGTGCCCCATGGGAGAAGGCACTTAGGAGAAAAATAGAAATTAATTATACTTTTGTACACATGAGACGAGTTATCCATGACTACGTCACAATCCACGGACCAAACTGCCAATTTGAGATTCGCATAGACTTATAACTTTCTTGCTATTGGTCAGATTTATTTCAAGCTTTCACCATTCTGTTTCTCTTATTTTTCTGCTTTCATACAAATTACAAGATGGATTGCCCCTAAACTGGAGAGGAGCAGGGTGAAAGAAGTTAACTCTGAGTTAATTTCTATGATGGCCATATAAATCAATATTACATTATACTCTTTTTATTGTTAAACAATTGAAAGGCAAGGTAGGGGGGGGGGGAGTGTTTGAATCAATTTTAAGTTGTAGTAGTACAACACAGTTTAAGGGGGTATTGGTCCTCTTGAAATCTATTAAAAATATGGTTTGAAAGTTCTTGTACCACATCCAAAAGGAAACAAATTTACCTGTAACAGTTTTGCTGTCTAGAGTTCAGACGTCTTCCTCAAACGCCAATTGGCAGACTGAAGTGAGCCGCCAATTTTCCATTACAAGAACTTTCAAATCATTATTACAATCATCCTGATGAAACTCTTCACAATCTTATTAAAAATATGCCATTTCAAATTGACTTGAGTTTGATTAATTAGCAAGAGCTTTCTTCCTGGGGAGAAGAGGGAGGGCTTAATAAATGGGAAAAATCAACAAATTGTTTGACTCACATATGTGATGGGTGGTTCTAAGAGTTTCTTTCCATCAATTTCCATCCATGTAGTTTCCTTAGCTCCTGGGGATCCAGGAGAACAAGGCTCCAGAAGATCATGTACAGTCACAGTAGGGTCTTCAGGAGAAGGACCAGATACCTAGGAGCAAACACAAATCATCCTTCAAGGTTAAAGTGTACCACAGTAGGGTCTTCAGGAGAAGGACCAGATACCTAGGAACAAACACAAATCATCCTTCAAGGTTAAAGTGTACCACAGTAGGGTCCTCAGGAGAAGGACCAGATACCTAGGAACAAACACAAATCATCCTTCAAGGTTAAAGTGTACCACAGTAGGGTTTTCAGGAGAAGGACCAGATACCTAGGATCAAACACAAATCATCCTTCAAAGTTAAAGTGTACCACAGTAGGGTCTTCAGGAGAAGGAAAAGATACCTAGGAACAAACACAAATCATCCTTCAAGGTTAAAGTGTACCACAGTAGGATCTTCAGGAGAAGGACCCGATACCTAATAAAAAATTATTTGTATATAGCTAGAATGTATAACATAAACCTCAAAACACCTTTAACCTGGCATTCTATAGGTAAACAGTTAAAGAGTATGAAGAAAGAAGTAGAGAACATTAGGAGAGAGGGGTATTTTTTCATGTGTAGAGTCCTATAAAGAATGAAGAAAATGACTACCACCATAGAATCTTGTTTCCTTTAACTCATGTACGTTTATATTTGTTATCAGTGGAGGCTAATTTATATCTTTAAAAAAAAACTAAAATCAATAAACAAAACCAGACGCTGATATTTAATTTGGAGAGGGATCCTGGTGAGAAGAACAAGGGATTATGTGAAAGCTTGTTACCAGCTATAAACTAACCGTTCTGAAATGTGTGGCACTCTGGACTTTCCTAACTGGCATCATGAGAGCATCTCGTACAACGATGCTGATATCTGCTCCTGAGTAACCCTTCGCCCTCTCACCAAGGTCTCTGTATTCATGATCTGTAACGGTTGTCTTGGTCTTGCCGATGTGAAGCTTGAACATCGTGGTTCTAGCTTGGGCTTCTGGTAGGGATATGTATATCCTCTTTTCAAACCTAAAAACATAACATCACAGAATAATCATGGTTATAATATGATGCACACATATAGAGGTGCTGTGGTCTAGTGGATAAGCCACTGGACTATGGATCACAAGGTATGGGGTTCAAATCATTGCCACACCACATGGTAACAATATGATGCACACATATAGAGAGATGCTGTGGTCTAGTGGATAAGCCACTGGACTATGGATCACAAGGTATGGGGTTCAAATCATTGCCACACCACTTTAGTGAGACACTCTCAACCCAGGTGAGGGTACGTGGTAGCAAGTAATTCCTTGAAATACTTGAGCACTGTAATAGCAGCTGTACTAAAGCCAGAGTAATAACAATGGAGCACCAAGAGTGTCAAATGTGCCACACATGAGCGGTACACAAGGGCCCACTATTATATTAAAAAAGAATAAAAAGATATTTGTTCAAGATTACTTAAAGCTTGTTCTGATATGACGCGGCAGACCTGGATGTTTTTTCTCAAAATGAAGATGTAAAGTGTAATATGTTTCACATTCCTGTATTTTATAACATGGAACTCAGTGAATACGCGCAAGTCCTTTGTTGTAAGAACTTGTCAATCATTTACACATAAAACCAGGGTAGGTTTTTGTGGCAGTCAACCGTGGCATGTCTGAACAAACCTTAAAGGAACTATGTCCCATTTGCAGGCCCAAAAAATGAAAAGGTTAAATTCCAACGGCATTTGAAAGATAATACTAATTTAGAACTTCCCTAAAAAAGGGGGCTTGAAAAAGTCTTTAAGTGGGAAAATAACTACTATTAGTTGTTGAATCGACTTGAGAGCTATAGAGCCAGTAAGTAATAGTCTGATTTTCAGACCATTGTACCGAATGGTCGTACGTTTTATGCTGCGCAAAGATTAAATCTGTTTATTTTTGTCCATTACAAGAAGTGGGTTATTGATGTAGACAAATGCTCATGAACCCTTTACAGCTCATTTTATGTATGTTATTACCAAAGAAGAAAAAAGCCAGTAAGTCACTCAATAATGTCTGACAGTGAAGTCTAGCAAGTAAACAGGTTTCCTTGCATAATTTGAATATTAGTACACTACTAACGTTTTCATTTCACAGATAGAACATACATGACATATTCATAATTCCTGCAAAGTTCTACAGAATTTGATGTTGGCTGCAAAAGGGACATAGTATCTTTAAAGAGCAATTGAATGTAAATATGCATATAACAATTTTGGTATCCCGTGCGTTAAGCTTTATCAGATTATTAAATGAATGTTTTTAAAAATTGTATTTAATTTGAAAATTCCATTCACCTATTTCTTGTAAATGATCAAGGATGATTCTTGAATGATCAGTTATTTCAAGGGGATACCAATTAATTTGTATTTTACCTTTTTATATGCTTGTGTATTTATCTATTTTGTTTTTGATGCTGTTATTTGTTTGTATTATTACCAAACAGGGCCTCATGGAAGACCACCAAATTGGTGATATGTGCCACCCTGTATAAATATCAGAAATAAATAAATAAATAAATAAATATCTAGAGTAAAAATGAAGAGCTACATGTATTCCAACAGGAATAGAAAGATACACATCAGCTTTCTTTGAGGCAGTTTTATCCAATCCAACTTCATTGTTTTAAATGGAAAGTTATTTCATACATGCATTTAAAAAAAAAGGGAAGATAAGAGCAGTCATGATTAAATATTATTTATATGTAATAAAAATGGACCGCCACAAACTGGTTCTTTGCCTGTCACAATTCCGAAAGGGCTTCAAAAAATAACAAGTTTCAGATTTACAATTTCTTAGTTTTGTAGTGGAAGGATAAATAAGTAATATTAAGTGGTTATATAGCCTACCAGGATTCCGTTATATATTGCTTTATGTTGATGATGAAACTATACATGGCACTCTTCAGTCTCCAAGACTTACCTTCTTTCATACATTGTTTGAGCCTATATTTCCTCAATCCCTTAAAACTTATGTTGAATATTTGTAATACGTTCTTATTTAGGTGTCTTATATATTTGAATTAATGATCATAGTCAATCCTAAACTATCCTGGGTTGGTTGAACCCCAGGATTCAAATGAAACTGAAATTTTTCACTCAGCATTTCATGGCACTGTCAAAAACAAACATATATATGTGCATATGGGACTAAATAATAAGTAAATACAGTCAAACCTGTCTATAGCGACCTCCCAAAGGAAATACAAAAAGTGGTCTTTGTAGACAGGTTCCTTCAGTACATTTTTCAATGACAAACCATTTTCAACGGAAACACAAAAAGTGGTCTTTGGTCTTTGTAGAAAGGTTCCTTTAGTGCATTTTTCAATGAGAAACCGTTTTCAAGGGAAACAAAAAAGTAGACAGGTGGTCACTAAAGCAGGTTTGACAGACTGTAGCAGGATTGCATGCATACACACCTTCTCCTGATAGCAGCATCTAGTTGCCAAGGGATATTGGTAGCTCCTAAAACCAGGACCTGAGAATTGTCTACTCCAACGCCTGTCAACAAAAACAAGCAAATCAACAAACAAAGAAATATATAAATAAACATAAACATAAAAATAAATGATTTAAAAGAACACGAGGGAGCTCATGAAAAGGTTGGATCTGGAAGAAACTGTGGTGGAAGTGGTAAAGAGAAGTGGATTGAGATGGATGGGTCATGTGTTGAGAAGGGAAGATGATGAACCTGTGAAATGAGGGTGGGATCTGGAAGTGGATGGCATAAGAGGGAAGGGAAGACTGAATATTTCATGGAAACATATGGTGAAGAAAGAGAGCAGTAAAAAAAAAAAAGTATTTTGTGAGAAAAAAACAACTACGTAATTTGGATGAAAAAACTGAATAATTCCGGGAAAAACAGAATGGTTGGCAGATCTGAATAGCCCTCTCAATACCTTATAGACCTATGCCATTAACATTTCAAAAGCAATTATCAAGATTAATATTCTAATAAGAGTAAAAACTACTGATTTAAATTACATGTAACTGGTTTCATTGCTAGACTGGGCATAACATTTCTTCCATGGAAGCAACCTTGACAATACATATAGATGTATATTCCATCCGATTCAGTGGAAAAAGGTCTTACCTTGCATCTGTACTAGGAACTCTGTCTTGACTCGCCTAGCGGACTCGCTTTCATTGTCACTTCTTGAACCACAGAGGGAGTCTACTTCATCAATGAATATGATGGCTGGTTTATTCCCCCGAGCTACAGCAAACAATGACTTGACCATTCTGGCAGGGGACAGAGTATTTACATCAGACTTATGTGTTAATGCAAGTTAAAATTGATTTTAGTTTCATTTGAGAACAAATTATATGTTGTTAGAAGATTAAATAAAATTAAAAGAGAAATTGAAAGATGACAATATATTATACAGAATGATTCTAAAAGATGTTTTTTTACCCATGACAGTGTCATCAGACACACATGCTTGCTAGCTAACAATATGTGCACATTCTCCACTACCTGGGGAGCAATGTGTCACTTGATTCAAATGATCTAAATCATAACAAAATATTGAAAAACAATAGGCATATTTTAGAACTTCAAAGACAGTGAGCAAATGACATGATCCATTAAACAAACAATCAGCTTACCCCAAAAACAAACAACATGGCAGAGAAATCATTGTAAATTGAATTCCAACACAGATTGTAAAAGAGTGGAATGTAAAAAGGCAGGTAGCTCTATTAAAGCAATGCTTTAATGTATACAAGTTGTTAAACTGAAATACCCCACTATGCGCAGTGCTTGTTGTTGGATTATAGCAGAGTGGCACAATGACTTACTTTTCACTCTCACCGAGCCATTTTGACATGAGATCTGAGGAAGAGACGGACAAGAAGGTGGATTTGGCTTCCGTAGCCACTGCTTTAGCGAGGAAAGACTTGCCTGTACCAGGGGGCTAGAGAGAGAGAGAGAAAGAGAGAATGTAATATTAATAGTGAGAGAGATGCAATTATATGATAGAATTTTACTGTTTATGCTAATACTTCCGCATAAAGATATTTTCGAAATAAAGCTTTCAAGAACAAATTTGTGAGTTTTTAAATTTGTGTAAAGCCACAACCACTACCCATTGTATACTTTTCAATAATTAATAAATTCTGTTTCCATGGATTATGAAATCATAAGAGAGTATCACAATCATCATAATATAAAAATTATTTCGAGAGAAATAAATGAACATATTTTTGAGCGAGGTTAAAATTGCAATCAATGAGTGCTTCGTGAAATTAGCGAAAATAAATCCTTCGTGAAAATAACCGCTTATACAGCAAGTTTTTGATGACAATCCTACCCCAAATAGCAGGATTCCTCTCCAAGGTGTACGATTGCCGGTGAAGAGATGAGGAAACTTGATAGGCAAGATGACGGCTTCTTTAAGCGCTTCCTTGGCTACTTCCAGACCAGCTACATCAGACCATTTCACATTAGGATTCTCCACTATGGCACCTGATATACACACACAAAAACAAAACTTTATTGCATTTTTACTGTATATATATATATATATATATATATATATATATATATATATATATATATATATATATATATATATATATATATGAGGATAGTGAACAAATGTATAACAAATATTTTATGCTTTTTAAAAAACATTTTATTCAATTAAAATTATCTCCATTTCAGTTTGTACAAGTACTTTTTAGAAGTAAATACATCTGACTATTACTGCTAATGCTAACAGCGGAAATAAATGGAAATCAAAGTAATAACACAGGTGTTGCAGTCTAGTGGATAATTTACTGGACTGTATATCACAAGGTATAGGGTTCAAATCCAAGCCTTGTACTTAGAATGTCCTTTGGCAAGACATTAATCTACATTTGCCACTCTCCACCCAGGTGCAAATGGGGACCCGATAATGCATGAGCGGTAGGTAATTTGGTGGCTCCGCTATAACCAGGGTAATAATACGTAAGCGCAACGAGCCTCACTGCTGATATGAGCATTGTAGACGTAGCTATCATTATAACTAATGTACAAGTAGTACAATTACATGGTCTAACCAATAAGGGCAGCGGCTGGCAGCCTCATCAGTAGTCATACTGCTCTTTCTGAGGCCCCACTATTGCTATTACCCAAGCATTACCACTACACCTGGGTGGGGAGGGACATGTATGGGCAAAAACAAATATACGACATACCTTCCAGCTGCTTTTCCATCTTTTTGAGTTCTGCATTCTCACCCTCCTCTTCACTATCACTCTCTTTGCCATTGCTGCTTTTCCTAAGGATGAAATATAAATTATAAAATATGCACTAAAAACATGGAATGATGTTCTCAATACCAGATGCTGATAGATAAACAGGTGTAGAACAATCATTAACAGGAGTCACAAGGAATATGACAATTCAAAATTAATATTAAAAAAATTAAAATGTTAACCAAGAGTTTGTAGACCTAGAACCCCATTTATTTTGTTTACATATCACAAATGATCCCCCCCCCCCCACACACACACACAAACGCATATAGTGCTGACATCTGGCTTCTCGTCATAGTCAACAGACTGATGTACATCTTCAGGATATCTTTTCAAAACTGCGCCTTAAGTTCTATAGAACAACAGGTCATTGTTAGTCTGCAGGCACAGACTCTAATTTGACACTTTATCATAATTCTTTAAGGGTTGAGCATGCAGAGCCTCGTTCTGTCAGTCTCTGGCTGTCTCAGATAGGCTAAAGTACAAAGCTTATGCAGTATGCTGTCAGCCTAGTGACCTAGTCTCATAGTGCAGACACTGTTATGCACAGTGACTGACAAGGTTTTGTGCATGTAATCTAAGTCATCTATTTGTAAATGTATAGCCTTTACTATTTAACCCTATTTTAACTGGGCTATTTCAGACCAGGTTTTTACTGGGGGGGGGGGGGGTCAATTTGACCCCCCCCCCAAGATCTCGGCCGTTTCACCGCCGATCGCCGCGAAAATTTGCATGCATGTCAAGTGAAGTGTATAGAATACTATGGTAATTTCAAATTTTTGAAAAAATTCACTAATTTGCATATTTATGGTAATTTATGCAAATAAGGTCATAAAATTCACATTTCAGCCCATTAATCATATATTATTCATATTTAAGTATTCTTTTTCACTACATATATTTATTAGACCATTTGGAATAATAATACAACACAAAAAATTGGAAGAGCCAGGTTATTCCTTATTTTATCTCTTGTTTTTATAATTTCTTATGTATTTCATTGTTTTTTAACTTATGTATTTTATTGTTTTTGTTGTTTTATTTCATTTATAACTACAATTCAACTATTTTGACCCCAAAACAAACATCTAAACTTTAAACAAGACTGAATAACCATTGTTTTATCTATTTTTAGGAAAAATGACTTTTACATATGTTTTGTACACAAATCACGAAAATGAGCGATTTTCGGGCTGACGTGCAAAGACAAAAGGTCACGCGACCTTGTAACCGTAGGTCCGATTTTCAAAAAAATTGTTTTAAAAGATGCGTAAGACTCGAAAGTAAAAAGTCATGAGAGGAAAATTTTATATCTGCCGCGGTTTCGGAGTAGTCGCGAAATTTCTACAGGGGGGGGGGTCAAATTGACCCCCCCCCCCCCAGTTAACGTAGGGTTAACCCTTTAAAAAAGAAAGGACAAAATTTGAATAGCCCAGTGGAACTGTGTCTATTTTATCCAGACAATACATGTCAACATAAACAATGTAAAGTAACAGTTTTCCTGATTTCTAAATCCTGTTATGAAATAAATCATGCTTGTATATAACGAATCTATGCAGTATAATGAAAGCACATTGTCAAGAAGAGGGGAAATGATTCATGCAAATGTGTGAAATGTTTCCCAAGACCAAGTCACAATGATTTAATGATTGTAACAACTAACAAGCCCAAGAGAACGATATTTTGAAGATATTTACTAAAACTGTGTTTTTATTCTACGTTGTCATAAATGTTAGTGGACTGCTTATAAACTTGTATTTTCAGTCTTGTATTCATTCAATAGCATAAGTACATGTAGGCCTAAGCCACTTAAAGGCTTTGTGATAATTGGCTTCATAACTGACAATGCTACCCTGTACGTATACATGTATAATTTTGAATAAATTAGATAAATGGATGAATAGATACGTAACTAGATACATCTAACACATACATGAATCAGTAATAGGACTGATATACATGATGACATTAAATTAAATTAATGATGAAAATGTGGATGAATGAGTGATTAAATAAATAAATTAATCAATAAATAAGTGATTGAAGAAATTTGAAATAAATAAACCAATAAATAAATGAGAATGTATAAAATCATAAATACATAAATGATATAAGTAAATCAATTAATAAATTACCATTGGTCAAACTAATTATCAGCTCATTTCTGAATTGTACACAAATGTGTGGATTACAGTTCAGCAATAACAACAATATTATAATGATCAATAATAGACACTTGCTTCATGTAACAACATAATTGATGTTTAGTGCTCTTGTAATTGTATTTCCTTCCGTCTTCTTCCTTGTAAAGTCCTTAAACATGTACTTATTCAACATTAACACACATGGAAATTAATTTTAGTGTATTCAACATGCTGATAAGTTATTTGATGTGTGAATGGGACTATGCTTACCCTTTGGGTCCTCCTGATGGGCCTTCTTTGACCTTCTTCTTATCTTTCTTGAGGAGGTACTCCTTCAATTGTTCCGCTCTCTCTAAATAGGTTGTACATTTAACTCTGATGCTCTCTTTAGCTCTCTCTCCATTCGCTTCATCTGAGGGATATACAAAAAAAGAGGCTTCAAGTAACACTTTGGAAAGAGTTTATACATCCACAGTAGATTTCCAACACTTCAAAATTGCTCTACAATTTGAAAATTCAGAATGACATCAGTGGTGTATCTGGATTTTGGAGTTGAGGAGGTGGGGGTGGGGGGGGGGGGGACTGAATCTGAGCCAATGCCATGTGCCATGGTGATGTATTTTAGCTATAAGATATTCAGTATAGGAGGGGGAGGGGGATCTAAATGGCATGGTATGGGTTGCAGGGTGTAGGGGCATTGGGTTGGAGTTCTTTATTAATCCCAATCTCTTTTCAGTATTGATTCAATATTTTATTATTTGTTCTTTTCACAAGATTATTTCAAGTCATTTCATATCGTAAGATCTCTACCAATAATATAAATAATAATAATAAACTTAATGGGTGGTATTCTCGAAAGCGGACTAACTTTAGTCCATGCTTTAATCCACCGACTAAGTATGGAATGCCAAGTGTCCATATGAATATATTTTCGAATAATTTGATAAGCTCCTAAATTACCATGATAACATGATTGTATCATAGTTACATGTATATTGTTGTTTATTAATTTTGTTATCACATTTTATTTTAATTTAGTGACAGATTAAATTATTCAAAAACATATTCATATGGACACTTGGCATTCCATACTTAGTCGGTGGATTAAACCATGTACTAAAGTAAGTCCACTTTCGAGAATACTACCCATAGAGCGAACACACTGTCCAGGGACGCTCATGGGACTAGGTATGAGAATGCTAGACAGCCCTTACATTTGAGAGAGTGGAGAAAGTACTGGACTCCATGCTCATAGAGCTTCTGTGCTTCAGCATACTCCCCCTTTTTGTCTTCATCTGTTGCTTTAGTCACAAGATCGATGGCTTTCTGCAATGAGACAAAACAACAGAGTCAAACAAATCAATTAAGAAACAACACACAGTACCCAAATGTCCTACAGGAAGTAGATTTATACAGCATTGGAAATAAAAAAAAGTTAGTCTCATTTCAATATGGGTAGTAAAAAGAAAAACAATTATTAGATAACTTTGAACCTCATGCATAGACTCTGTTTAGAACCAGTAACCTGGACAACGAGTCAACATAATTTTAAACACTATGTTACTCTATAGGGCTACATGTAGAATTTCACAAGCTGGGAGCAAAAACCTATGTGGGTCTCAACCAATTAAAGCCCTCTCTGCTATGACTCACGTGACATTAGACCAAACTCTACTTAAAATCTTCTGGCAAATCTGTACCTAGTGCGTATTAAAGTTAATGTCTGATGTCATGAATATATCGAAATTACCAGATTTCGACATACCGGTACTAGCAAATATAATTTCTTGGAGAAAATTTTTTTTTTTTGATATCCAAGTTCTGGTGTTTTGAGCACTTAAAATGGGTCTTGATAGACATGCAACCAGTTTACCTCTGTGCATACGCCCATTGTATACTCTATACTAATTGCTATTATTGTTAAGTATCAAATTGGCAACACAATTTTTTTTTTGCATGTGTATACCGCATGTCTTTGCATTTCAGCTGGAATTAACATCGCAAACTCTCGTAATAGGTCAGTGTTTTTTAATGTAAATCGCACCTTTACTAATTATCATCAGGAAGACGTGGAAGGTAAGCAAATCGATATCACTCCAGTAGCAAAATGTCACATTTCATATCTCACAATTGCATACTGTACCGTACCGGCGAAGGACCAGGGTGGCGAACGTGCGTGAAGTCGATTAATACAGATTACAGTCGATAACTTCACGCATGCTCGCGCCCGGTTTGCATGAAACTAGTGCTGTAGTCAAACGTTTAACCGTCCGGTATCCGACCGCCCATGGCGGATTCCGTTTTCAATTGGACGGTTTCGTTTTCCCGTTTTTTTTTTTTTTTTTTTTTTTAAGTTTCGATTTATGCCCCTCCACCTGGCACTATGCCCGGCAATGTCTCCCAGCTCAGTAATTGGTGTGATGACTTACCACTTGGAAACTAGAACAACACTCCAATTTGTCTGTCATCTTGGTTTGAAAGTAATCTTTGTAATAGATCTCAATATATATTCATCCCAGTTTAACACATGGTGTACCACAAGGTTCTATCCTAGGTCCTCTACTGTTTTTAATTTACTTTAATGATCTTACACATTATTCTAAAACGACATTGTTACTATTATTTGTGACAAGTTCACAAGCACAAATCGGCGCCTTCAGTTAAATCACCTTCCTGCTTTTTCACACGGCCAAAAAAAAAAAAAAAAAAAAAAAAGATTTTTAATTTTTTTTAAATTTTTTTAAAAAAAATTTTTAAATTAAAAAAAACAAACAAATCGTTTAACCGAAAACCGTCCGGTTTTGACAGGCGGTTAAACGGAATTGGAGATATCCGTGATGTTACAGCACTACATGAAACCTGTGAGAAAGTGATTATTATAATGTCTTCTTTTTTAGGAAAAATACTGCAAAAAAATAAGAAAATTGACACAAAAGGGGTCAGAAATACAATTATACAACAACTTTATATCTGAATATCATGATCATTATTTGAACAATTTATGAAGATTAAGATGATTTTTGGTATGTTTTTACGCCGGATCTACGGGTCAAAAATGGATACGAAAGTACACTAGCACCTAACTCCGGGAAGCTCCAACACCGGCGCCGCAGGCGTCGGAGCTTCGGTAAAACTGTCGTGGGGGCTTCTAAAACAGCCGATGGGGTAACATTATTGTTAAATCTGCAAAGGTAGTACTTACAATTTTTACGTCATAGGGTGCACGAATCCTCAGGGCATAACAATGATCACTTGAATTCATAATTTGAAGAAGTCTTCGATGGGAAAAAAAGGGTTATTCAGAGCCCTACACAAACGATTCTTCCATGTCGCAGCGTCGATTCAAAATGGCGTAGAGACAGTACGCATGCGCGGCAGAGCCGCAGAAAGTATCAATATTCATGTTATCGAGCGCCGATCGCTCGAAATCGCTGAATGTGCATGAGGTTGAGAAGGGCTCTGTTTGTTCGAGTCGTGCATATTCAGCAATTTCGAGCGATCGGCGCTCGATAGCATGAATATTCATACTTTCTGCGGCTCTGCCGCGCATGCGTACTGTCTCTTCGCCATTTTGAATCGACGCTGCGACATGGAAGAATCGTTTGTATAGGGCTCTGAATAACCCTTTTTTTCCCATCGAAGACTTCTTCAAATTATGAATTCAAGTGATCATTGTTATGCCCTGAGGATTCGTGCACCCTATGATGTAAAAATTGTAAGTACTACCTTTGCAGATTTAACAATAATGTTACCCCATCGGCTGTTTTAGAAGCCCCCACGACAGTTTTACCAAAGCTCCGACGCCTGCGGCGCCGGTGTTGGAGCTTCCCGGAGTTAACTAGCACCAGGATTTTAGCACACAACATAGGGTGCCCTATCAGACACCCTATTCATCATATTACTGTATGGGGTGGGAAGAAGGAAACCAATGTATAGACCTATATTATAGACTATGCCACAATGCATGATGCCCTAATGTGCGGAGCGAATGGTTTATATTACGATAATGCCTTTAAGGCTAATTATCACCATATAAGACAAGACCTTATGTTATGCTCTCCTCTAACTCTCCTCATTGCATTCCCACTTGCACTCCATCATGGATAATGGACTTTACACATAACTTGCATGTGACGGAATGAATCATCAATGATCGGGATCTGCAGCATCCCGGCCGGTTTTGTTTCACCCCATGCAAATTATGAAACAAAAGTCAAAACAGATTGAAAATTTAAAATGGTACTTACCGTCATCGCAGGCGTCCCACCAGACATCCTGATTGTTTGAGATGTCGTTACAAGAGGAAATGATATCAAACACTGTCTGTACAAGCAACGTTAAGTCAGTAACTTGGATAGGATCTTCTTCGGCTCAGCTCACATCAGTAGCTTGTAGTGTATGTACTGTATAAATGGTATACGGATGTATGGCGGCGCGGCGCAGAGCAGTATACACAGTACAGTACATACCGCCTAGCTGACTACTAAAGAAACCATCTTGTAGTTGTTTTTAAAAGTTTGTAGGCGTGTATCATGCAATTATGAAGCATGCATCAGTGCAGAGGCGAGTAATATAGTCTCAGGATGGTTATTTCATTTTAAATTAATTATTAATTTTTCATCTCATTTAGTAATTTGTGTATAAATAATGATCAGCAACTTGATCAGTCTTGCTAAACTAGTTGGCTAGTTAAATGGGGTCTGGAAACCACACTACAATTTGTTTGCGCACAGAAAAGGTGTACATTTTGATCAAGCTAGACGGTACTAAAAATGACGTATGTTCGGAAAATACACTGTAATATAGGGTACCGTAATATAGTCATCGATGTGACTCTCTTCCGCATTGTATAAACATAAAAATGGAAAGAGAATAACGGTAATGAAATATATATATGCTGTTCTCTCATATTTTTCTAGTATAGGCCGAACAGGTAGAAATGAAACATTTTTCAACAAAAAAAATAAAAAAAATATGAACAGAAGCAGAAGAATTAAATAAGGAGCACACCAAAGTGCCCCTATAGATTTTACTTATAGGAAGAGTGCCGCTTTTTACTTCAAATAACATCCCCCTTTTCTTAGCTTTATAATAAGTGCCGCTTCCCCTTACTAATTAAGTGCCCCCTTTCGCCTCTGATAAGTGCCCTATTCAAGTTTGATAGGTACCCATCATTTAAACTTTTTATGAGCTAGTCCCGGCCGTCCTAGTACTCTGACACGTGCTCCTTTTCCTTGCGTAGTAAGTGCCGCTTATTCCCTTTTCAGATAAATGCCCATTTTCACTTCTGATAAGATATAGAAACATCACAGGTGCCCCCTTTTTATCTCTGATATGTGATCTCTTTTTTTTTAAAGGTATGAGTGTCCCTTTTACTTTGACATATGCATCCTAGCTTTTCCATCATAATAAGTGCCCCTTCCCCTTAAAAAAATGTCCCTATTCACTTCTGAAGATAAAGACCCCTTTCAATGATGATAAGTTCCCCTTGTTACTTTGAAAAGTGTCCCGTAGGTGAGCTCTTTTGTGGTCATCTAAAGGGCCATATCTCAGCTTTAAAACCGAAAAACTATTAAAAAAAAACAATTAAAAGTGGGGCAGCTGTATGTAGTAACAGGTACCCTCAGTGGCGTACGCAGGATACTTTCAAGGGGGGGGGGGGGGTGGGGAGGGGTTTAACATTTTGAAATCGGGCCGAAATTTCGCAACGACTCAGCCAGCCGCTGAATAAGCGGGGGGGGGGGGGGGGGGCTTGGTAGGAAAAAAAACAAAAAAAAACAAAAAAAACAAAAAAAAACAAAAAAACAGAGGGGAAGGGGGGGGGGGTTAGGTGGGTTCAAGGGTGTCGATTTGTATCCGTGGTTGGGGGGGGGGGGGATGATAGGTGCCAAAATATTTTCGGCAATGGATCAAAGCAACCAAAGTGGTAGAAGCGTGTGGCAAGTTGCACCCCTCCCAAGCGCGTAGCCAGGATTTAATTTTAGGGGGGGGGGGCGGTAGTGAGCACGCGAAGCGCGTTTCCTAGGGGGTTGGGTGCAGGGAGGGGGAGTCCCCCCCCCCCCCCCCCGCGCAAAGCGCGGAAGCTTTTACGTTTCACTAAATTATTAGAGAAAGAAGACGATTCGTTGGACCGTTCTCGACTCTTAATCCTTGTTTGAATCAAATTCCCCTTCTTCCGCGCGTAGCGCGGTAGCTCTGACGTTTCATTAGATTATTAAAGAAAGAAGACGTACGATTCTATGTACCATTCTCGACTCTTAATCCTTGTTTGAATCAAGTTCCCCTTCCCCCGCGCGTAGCGCGGAAGCTCTGACCTTTTTTTTTTAGATTATTAAAGAAAGAAGACGATTCTATGTACCATTCTCGACTCTAAATCCTTGTCTGAATTCATTTTTGCCCATTCCTGCGCGAAGCGCGGAATTCACATTTTATTACATTATTCGAATATAAGAAGACTATTTGTTGTTTCGTGTCCTTGAATTCAGTTTCCCCCCTACCCTAAAGGAAGCTTTAATGTTTCAATAAATTATTACTCTTCATCCTTGTCTGTATTCATTTTCGCCCATTCCGCGCGTAGCGCGGAAGCTTTCACGTTTCATTAAAGGTAAAGACCAGTTATGGTCATGCGATTGCATTGTGAAAGAAGCGTTGTGGAATCGATCAGAAAAGGTTGATCATCTAGCATCTAGCATCTGCAAGGTTCTGGAATCATCAAAATGATAAGAAATTTGGCCCATTCTTCGTAAAGTTACAAGCACTATACACAGAAAGATGTATATGGGACTACCCATCTCTCACAGACCATGAGAGAAAAAAATTTACTAAATATATGAATTAGTAGGCGGTTTCCCGGCAAATTTTTTATCATCATGTATTAGTCAAAACATATTCTTTCACATGATTGGTAATGAGAACTTCCATTTCATTTTTTGAAATTGGGGTGTTTCCAATACTGGTCTTTACCTTTAAATTATTAGTAAAAGAAGACGATTAGTCGTATCGTGTACTTTGACGTTTCATTTGATTATTACTCTTAATCCACGTCTGAATTCAGTTGCACCCTAACAGCTTTGCCCTGTTCGCTAAATTATTAGAGAAAGAAGACGATTCGTTGTACTGTTCTCTATATTAACCCTTGTTTCAATTCAGTTTCCCCACTAAAAATAAGTTGTGTCACAAATAAGTTGTGACATAATAATCTTTCTCCAAAAATGAAAAATGTTTTAGGAAATATCAGGAAACAAAATGAGTGAAAAAAATAAAAAATAAAGATACAATGACGTGAATTTTAAAAAGGGTGAACGAAAACAACATAACAACTAGTGAACTATTTTATAAGTCATACTAATGTCCGAAAATCTTTCTCCTTGTCTCCGATCTCATCACGAAATCGTCACAGAGTTCATCTATGTTTACACTGTCCAGGATTGTCTGATGTGAATTGCAGATTGCTACTTTTGTGCTTCGCGCTTAATATTTAGCTCGTTGCTGTTGATGCTGCGTCTTTGCATTTGGCGCACTGCATTTCTATGATGCTGTTGATTGAACAAATTGAATAAATTCATCAATTCCTGATGAAGCCGTATGAGCGAGAATTCAATTTATTCTTGTCTCATATTACGTCGTATATATGTATGTATTATGAAAATGAGATAGCAAAATGTGTATATTGATGGTCATCTTGCGAGTAATAACTAACAACTACTCTCATCGGACTCTCATCATTAATTTTTCTCTTCATTTTTTAAATATTTTTTTTATGGTGAATTATTGGGGGGATGATTGTACAGGCCATCCCCCACCTGAAATATTGGGGGTGGGGGGGGGGGATATATATCCCCCCACCACCCCCGGGATCGACACCCATGGGTGGGTTTTCCTAAAAAATACACACATAAAAATACCAAAGGGGGGGGGGGTTCAACCGCCCTCTTTTATGCCCGCCCTTCCGCACACTTAAGTTTCCCCGCCGCCCCTTTTGCAAAAAGTGAGAGGTACGTAATTTCCGTACTGTAATGGAAATCGTGCAAGTGGTGGCATTCAGATATTTGATTTGATCTTACTCATATTGACAACATGTACAGCGCCATCTCATAACTTGACGTTGGTCCAATTAAACTTTTTGGCCAAACTCATCTCTACGACTCTTCCATTAAAGAGATCAGTGGATTTTGGCCCGTATTCCACCTACATTTAACCAGACGCTGGTATTAAGCTCCCCCAACAAAATTTGATTTAGTCCGAGGTCTAAGCTCTTCTTTGCTAAATATGTTAACGTGATCTTAGACCCAGGGCCAAAACAATTTAGTATTATACAGACCAAAGACAGTGTAACTCTCCTCAGTATGTTATTTAAAAATATCGCTTTGTTTTCGCAGCTAACAGCAATATAAAAGTAAACTGCAAGACAGCTTTTTCCTTTTGTTCGTTTGTTTATTTATTCATCAAGTATTTTGTTTGTTTGTTTTGCAGACGAATGGTTGTCCGATATTTCTGCCTTCTGGTCTCGCCTGCTCCTTCTTAACGAATCTACAATAAAATTACTGTATCAATACATTTGCATTTTAATCAACAAAATGCGCTCAACAAGTTTAATGTGCCAATCTTAAAAAATATCTGACGATCATGTTCATCATGTCCATCGTGTTCATAGAAATATCCTTGGAACGTTCAGTCCTCATTTCAGTCCCTTTGCATAGTGATACTCGCTATAGGGTGCTTTGCCCAGACTCTCTTCTGAGAAGTAACGTTCTGTTGGCGAAGGCATTACATGTATTTCATACTTAGGTTGGTTAAGAACATTCCATTTCTTTATCATTTTTTTAAAGCCACTAATCACCTCTTTGGGAATCAAAACCTAAAGCCCCACTGTACTTCTTACAACTACTTTCGCCCTCTATACAGCCAACAATGCCTAAGCGGTACCCGTTGATTTCCATGATGCCCTTTTCTTATTTAAATTGAGAGCTGATTTGATGAGATAACTACCTGCCAGTGACTTTGCTGGGAGGTCTAATCCCCTCATGCCAAACTAGTGCAGAAGGGCTTTAAGATAGCGATGCAGAGACAATGCAAAGTGTATAATGTAATACAAGGTGTAACAATTACACTTTTTATCATAATAACTCAAAATTAAAACTCAGACTGAAGTTTTCACATTGTAACGTTGAAGGATGTCCAATTTATTTGAAGTAATTTTTATAACATTTCTTTGAATAATATTCTGGAAAAAAATGAATACTTATTCAGAATTTCAATCAAGGCCACACAAATTGGTGTATATCAGTAATTCAAATCGCGATGGCACAATAATTGTGGATGGCAGCTGTAATTTTGCTATCCAATGATGTCATAATTAATTATAGTTACTTATTCATGAGGTGCTCTGGAATTTCATAACGAAAGTAGAACACGAAAACTGGTTGCCCTAAAACATTGCCAGATTTCAGGAAATTTTACTTAACTTTGCATGACTTGTCTATATATTTATCGAAAACGATTTCAAAATAAATAAATAATGAAAACAAGGAAATACAGTTGAAGTACAAACAATCTTAGTATTTGAAAGATTATGATCGCAATATCGTCATCAATGCTTATTCAAATGTGACCCGGCACCACAAAACCAACAAAAAGTCGCAACCAGCGATTCTCCGTAATCAGCTAAAATGTCAATTTAGGTGAAAAAAATAGATTTTTGTTTTTTTGCATTTTCTGAAAGAGTGGTCTTTTCTGTACCTAGTATCAAAATTTGGAAGTCTAAAACATAGTAGAAGATGTGTTTTAAACGGTTTTTCTAGACCACTTTTTTTCGCACAGCCTTCGGTCTCTTCCAAAATTTGATCACTTTTCCCGAGCGAAATTATCGTAGTCCGGAAATGGTCAGTCGTTGCTAACGGGTCGTGCTACGCGGGCTGTGATTGGTCCGTTATAGCAATCAGTGCGGCGCGCCATTTTGTTTGTATCCGCTTTCACATCCGAGTTCCAGATTTGCGTTCGTCTTATATTCTCCGTTAACGACTTCGAGTCGCTTGAGTTGTTGCATTTTCAAACTTGTGATAAAGGATGAGAAAGAGTTGTTGCATTTTAAACTTGTGATACACGATGAGAAAGAGTTGTTGCATTTTTAAACTTGTGATAAAGGATCAGAAAGAGTTGTTGCATTTTAAACTTGTGATACAGGATGAGAAAGAGTTGTTGCATTTTCAAACTTGTGATAAAGGATGAGAAAGAGTTGTTGCATTTTCAAACTTGTGATAAAGGATGAGAAAGAGTTGTAGCATTTTTAAACTTGTGATAAAGAATGAGAAAGAGTTGTTGCATTTTAAACTTGTGATACAGGATGAGAAAGAGTTGTTGCATTTTCAAACTTGTGATAAAGGATGAGAGAGAGTTGTTGAATTTTTAAACTTGTGATACAGGATGAGAAAGAGTTGTGACATTCCCTAAATAATTTTGTTTTCATTTCTGTGCTTCCAAATTTATTCTCCCATAAGAGTTTTGAAATCAAGTTCTTATTGTAAACGAACATTCACACTCTTGATATCATCATTTTGCTTACAGCTATCATAGTTCTCCCCCTTCTTTTCCCTCTCTGTCTCTCTCTCTCATTCTTTCTATTTTTCGTTATTCTATGTTGGTGTCTTTACTGTGTGTCTCCTGCCTTTCTTTATTTTTATACCACTTTCTGGCTGGTATTTATGAATTGCTTCCATTAATTATCATCAGGATGGCTACTGGAAATGAAAGAGCAAGTCATAGTAAAAATACTTTGAACCTCCTGTGAGAAAGAAAACAGTATGGGAATTAAGTATAAAGCAAGTTCATAATGTGGTTACAAATAATTGCCCAGATGTATACAAAACAAGATAGGTGACAAGCAGTGTTATGTAAGGGGGAACAAAAAGACTCCGGGTCCACCATGAATAGGCATTGTCTAGTGCAGGTGTCTCGGCACTATGTTGCAGTTCACTTAATCTGTCCAATTACAACTCTATACATTTACAACATAATAACTTTTGAAAGACTTAAGTCCACACATTGAAACCTCAGAAACATAATGAACAGACTATGTTTGACCATCAGGCCAAATTTCAGCCTAATCTGAAAATCTCTTCATAGTGGTTGCTATGGCCTTTTGATTCACCCTTCTATTGATTTCCCTGTGGTTTGCTTGCTCCGCATGCTTGAATAGCCCAAAACTTTAAAGCTCTCTTTCTCACAATTTAATACCAGTAACCTCCCTCACCAGCTCTTTTCATTCACTAAATTGAAAGGGTTAGGAAGCTTCAATTTGGACAAGTAATATACCATTTTAATGAGGAGAACTTCTTCTTTCATAATCAGATGAAATCAGGAAAATAATTTTTGCGACTTTTTGTTGGTTTTGTGGTGCCGGGTCACAAATGATTAAAAAAAAAATACTTGCCATCATAATCATTTACCTCATTACTTTAAATGAATACATATATATTATATGAAAACAGACAGCCAATTTGAATAAACTAAACACAATGAAAATGACAATTTGATTTAATTAATTTGTATCGATGTCCAAGCAAACTTTCGCGTCGGGGGTGGGAGGGGGGGGGGGGGGGGAGGGTCATGACCTCTACGCACCCTCGGTAAAAATAACATCCAACAAAAAAAACACACACACACACACACACACACACACAATAAGAATAGGGTTGAAAGGTATCAATTTGAAATAAATTCATTGACATAAATCTGAAACTTTGATATGTTATTACATTCAGGTTGCTTACTAACAAGCATTAATATGCTTTCTTAGCAGTCAGGTAAGATAACCACAACTACACAAACCACTACACATTGATAACATTGCATTTATAATATGAATACAGTGTATAATCATTCAAATAAATCTGTATAAAGTTTCAAAGAAGAAAAGGCCCTGTAACAACTATGAAAACGTTGCACTTCAAAATTGACAAAAACAAATGTTACGAATGTCATATTTACAATTTACAAGCTAGACGATAACGTGAAAATAATATTATAAATAATTCTGGAAGAACTAAACTTATTTTTCCATGAATAATGATGATAAATATGAATAATCAATTATGATAGAAGCCCGAAATAAACTGGTGGCATCAATTTCTCTTCATGTTCCACTAAATAGCAGCGGTCGTTCTGATATGAAGCGGCAAAACCGGTTTTTTTATAATGAGGACAAAGTGGAATACGCTACAAATTTTTGTATCTTATAACACAGTACTCAGGCTGTAAGTCTGGAGAGCCTTCGGCGTAGTAAACCCTAAAACCCTCATAAACCGACCATGTCGGTCTATAGTGATTGTCGGTCTCGCGGATTGTAGCCAGACCGGCTCACTATACCCGAGTATGAGAATCTTATGATAGTAATTTCTGGTATAGGTCTGTGATAATACTACTGTCTTCTTTCAATCACAAACATGAATGTGGCCATGGTATGTTACGCAAACCCAAGGAATCTTGATGCTGCCTTATGACTTAATTAGGCAGAATTAAAAAACGGACCCAGAAAGAAATGATATTCATCTGTATCTTCTGACAATTTTTTTGTTCAATCGTTTACTGAATTTTCCTTTTACAATGAGAAGAACGATTCAAGGCGCTATTTAATAATGTTCATATTTTTTGTTGCGCCTCCGTTAGTGAGCTGGTTGAGGTTAAATTTTGGCTATATATGCCACCTGCTGCTCACAATGTCCCGATGTGTCGACATCCATGTCCCATGATGCATCACCAACTCCGTGACTCGGGCGGTCGTGATGACGATTATGGGTACAGGAACCGAAAACCACTCCATATAACTATATACGCCTTCATCGAAACATGGCGCAATTACATAACAGAGCGATGTCGGTATAATACCCTGACTATCGTGTCGACCATGCTATCTTTGAGCGATCTCATTGTGTCTTCGCTTCTTCAGGTATAACGAAAAATAGCTTCTGAAATGGCCTGGTGATGGAGCCTGAAACAAAGTCAGAGAAATATACAACTACATGTATATTACTATACTAGAGGAAGAGATAGAGAGAAATAGGGGGGGGGGGGGTAGGGAGAAAGAGAGTGGGGCGCTTTAAGGAGTATTGTTGGTACCTTTATCAGTAGAAATGAACCGATATAATGCAACTTGCAGAGAAATTGTGTGATTAAAGGACCAAAATAGCGAAAGAAATAACTTTTAGTACAAGATTAATGTGAGAAAATATGTACTCGCTTGCTTTACTGGCTCGAATCAAAATGTTCGTCAGTTCTTAAATTCCACCTCTCCATTTGAATGTTACATGTTTTCCCTTACATTTAATTCTACAGAACCAACATCATGAACATAGTGGAAACATAAATACATTTAATTTATAATTTCATCATGTATAATGGGCCTAATCTGTCTTTAGCTTTTAACATTTTGTAAGAATGTTGATAATAATTCAACAACGAAAACCGTTAAAAATTACCATTTCAATAGTTAAAGCGTGAACATTTTCCAAAATGAATAATATTCGGCCAATCGCCATCTCCTTATTATTCTTCGGCCAGCTAGTAGGTTGATTTGTATATAAATGATTGTGAGCTGTGGATGGCAGTATACGTAGATCTGAAGTAGTTTCAGTAGAATACCTAGCTGCCTTTAAAGGAAAGTCTTCACCTACCTGTTATTTTTCTAAACCATAAAGGTTTATTCCATCGCACGAAGACGAAGTAGATTGGTACACCAATCAAGGTGAGTAGTAAGCCTAGCCCACTACTCACTGGGCTCGTATACAGAGTGAGACCCATTAAGAAGAGCATAGCCACGGCAAATAATACAGCAATTATCACAGGTACCTGTGGTGAAATCAGATACGGCAAGGAAACTTCTGAAATATCATGTGCTTATACTTTATAACATAATTTTTTTCAAAAGTTGATTATGATATAGGGCTTTTTTTTGGTCATGGACATAAGAATTGTATTTTTATTGTTTGTTCACAAACCTATCATTAATTATGAAAGATTTAGCTGGTGAGTTAAGTTAGACAAGAGATCACACGTGGCTCTAATATAGGAATGTTAATATTTCTTTGTGTTGAAGTTCGTGTAAAAAATAAGTTTGAACATGGAATCTTTGTGGCAGTTCACTGGAACTGTGTTAACGTATTATGCAAGTCATTGTCTATTGGCCCTCTATACAGCGTCTCTCAGAAAAGCATTTCGTAATATTGTCGTGAAAAACAAAGTCTTCAAGGTTCTTTACAAATTGTTTTGAAACATCTTCAATATTATGGTAATAACCATCACAGTCGTCACTGTCAAGGTCACCAATGTCAAAATCATCAAAATCGTTACTATCGTCGTCACCGTCATAATCATCATCATCTTCATCTTTATAATGATCATTATCAGCATCAACATTATCATTATCATCATTATCATCATTAGATTAATCACATATTTCTAATTTAACGCATCATTAGAATCACCTTCAACATAATTATTGTTCTCGAAATCACCATAATCGTCTTTTAGGCTTATACCACATCTTTTCTTCCCCTTTCCTCCCCTTCCTCGTCTACTTGTCCTCGTCCTCCTCCCCCGTCTCTTCAACATCATCCCCAATGTATTGTATTCACGGTTACCCTCAATCATACCCTTTATCAAATTGCCAAACCAAAAAACGAGTGTAGATCACCATTCACTTTATTCTTAAGGGCTTAATTATCTAACCATCTTCTAAGAGGTCGTCACCATCGTCATCATGATCAACATCATCATTATTAAACATCATCACCATCAACATCATCATCATCAAACATCATCATCATCATCCTCATCATCATCAACATCAACATCAACATCCTCATCATCGTCATCATCAAACATCATCACCATCATCAACATCACCATCATCAACATCACCATCATCAACATCACCATCACCATCATCACCATCACCATCATCATTGTCGCCGTCTTTGTCATCATACCTTGAATGGCCTGTGAAGGTCTGGATATTTCCAGCGTGAATACGGGATGATACAGACTGTAATAGCTTGAAACGCCACCATTACGAATGATTGATACTGAATCAGTTTGAAAACATCATCAACCATCAGACATATCATCACTATGGGAACCTGGTTTGGAAAGAAAAAAGGTGGATTATTCAATCCATCGGATTAATATATTAAAGGAACTATTTAAATTTTGACAAGATCATGACTGAATTTGAAAAATAGTTTAAATTTATCATTGACTGTAAGGAATCACTTGCCGTATCAGTCACTGAAAGGAATAACGAAATTACTGTAACAATGTCTGAAGGGAATGACCAACTGTTACAATGTCTGAAGTGAATAACGAGCTATAAAAATGTCTTAAGTGAATAACTAACTGTAACAATGTCTGAAGGGAATAACTAATTGTAATAATAGCTGAAAGGAATGACGAATTGTTACAATGTCTGAAGGGAATAACTTATTGTCACAATGACTGAGGGGAATTACTAACCATATAAATGTCTAAAGAGAATGACTAACCATATCTGAAGGGAATGAATAACCGTAACGATGACTGAAGGGAACGACTAACTGTAACTTTGACTGATGGGAGTGGTGTACTGGATCTAATCTTGATAATGACTAACCGTTACAATGGCTGAAGGAAATGACTTATCTTAACATTGTAGGAATGACTAACTGTAAAAATCATTGTAGGGGATGACTAACCGTGACAATGACTGAAGGAAATGACTAATCTTAACATTGTAAGAATGACTAACTGTAAAATGATTGTAAGGGATGACTAACCGTAACAATGACTAATCTTAACATTGTAGGAATGACTAACCGTAACAAAGACTGAAGGAAATGACTAATCTTAACATTGTAGGAATGACTAACCGTAACAATGACTGAAGGAAATGACTAATCTTAACATTGTAGGAATGACTAACCGTAACAATGACTGAAGGAAGTGGTGTACGGTGTCTAATGTTGATCATCCCAATGACTTCGGGTAAAAGACCGTCTCGAGCAGCAGCGTAATACACCCTGCAATAAGACCCAGAATATACAACAGTAACATATGCAAACTAAATAAATACGTCGTTAATATATATATATATATATATAAAAAATGAAAGAGCAATACAAAGTCATGTAGGAACAATTTGAAGGCATATTGTAGATTAACTGTACCCATAAAGTAACTTACTATCCGCTGCAATATTATTATATACGTATTATCGCCAATCAAATCGATTGAAGCAAATTATTTGTGCATTGACGCAATGTTAGCTCCGTGTACAATTTTGCATTGTTTTTTTTCCCGCATGATGTCACTCACATGTTTAGCGCGTCGAAAACGTCAGCAAAATAACGCCTCGTGTGCAACTCACAATTAATGATAGCGATCATGATAATCAAAGATAAACAGAAGGATTAATAGGCATACCTTGAGAAGCCGAAGAAGATTGCGTTAAGGTTGCCGATGGCCGACAAAGCAACGAAAACCCAGATAGTCCATGACCAGGTTCCTAAAGCGATCACGCTAAAATCCTGTCAACAGAACAGACCAAGAACAAATTCGAAAGAACTCCTATTAATAAACTTTAAACATCCTCTCATTTGAATCCCTCGCTCCCTCACCCTGCCATTGTGTAACTATGGGCGTGTTTATGCTTACATTTTTCTGGCCAGAATCAGGCATCTGTTACGCGTTTAGTTTAAAACACGGTTGCGTCCATGCTCACTTTTGTAGATTCACCGAAAAACGGCGATCACGATCGCCGATCGTAAACTCACAAAAAGATGCGTTTACAATTTGTAAACGCGTTTAAATGGGGTCAACGCACTGACCTCTAGTGGGTCTACATAGCATGCACAGTGAAGGTTTGCGAATCCAGCTGGAAGATCAATTAAGGCCACCCAAGGAGAATTGCCTGGAGGAGCCAGAGAAGTGAGCATAAACAGTACACCGTGGAACTGCGATTACGATGAGCGTTTACGATGAGCGTTACAAATCGCTCATTCTGCCTTCAAAATTTAAGCTTAAACGCACCCTGTGAGTATTGAGACAGCCACTTCGTATTAAGTTTTATCCCCTTCTTGGATATAAAAGTTATATAACTTCGAGAACAACTAATTAGCTTTCATGCCCATTCATTGTTTTGACAAGGCCCCCTAAAAGGTTATTCCTAAGTTTTGAGATTGGCAAGATACTAACGATTGGAAATCTATGCAACTTTTTCTCCTCCTCGAGGGCAGCATTACATAAATGAATAGGCTATTTTATGACTTTATTTTACAATAAGGGTTAAATTATTTTTAACCTCTCACCATAGCAGATGTGTATGTAAATAAATTATTATATGAACCCTGTAAGATCACAGTGAGCTGCTCTTCGACGCAGATAAAGGTGACCGATAGCCTCATTTGAAGATTTAGATATTTACGATAAAATTTATCGGATCTGAAATCATGGGCGGAAGTTCGATAAATGGTAATGGCCAATCAAGATCATTGTTGCATGAACATATTATTAAAAGGGCTGAATATTTACCAATCAGAATCATTTTTTCAAATTTACAATTGATAGCAAACATTTGCGTTACGGGGCAATGAGCATCTGACACTTGCCTTTTGTTTAAACAAGTGGAATGATATGAGAATGTATTCAGCAAGTTCTATCAATTACATTCTCGGTATAAGGTAAGAGGAGAAGGTTTTTTTTTTATAAAGACGAACATTTAAAAAAAAAATTAAATTAAGTACAAGAAAGTAAAAGTCATTAGACAAGATCCATTTTTTTTCTTTCTTTCTTTCTTTCTTTATTTAACAAAAATAATTTCTTGCTTGCTTGCTAGTCAGAGCTTTGTGTGGCTTGATTACTGGAATAAATGTAAGTATATTGAATAATGTTTGGATAATGACTTACCGCTGCCACCGCTTTTGAGGCTAGGATCTGAGCCGGTGATAGGATAACAAGATAGGCCACATTGGCTAGCAGATAGATGCTTGTAATCACTACCATTGAGATGATAATACTCAGGGGAACGTTTCTGAAGCCGAGGAAATTAACAAAATATAACACGTTATAAAAGTAGTGTCTGTCAAAGTTAACTCCTCGATATATAGACAATATTCCATAGCCTAAACATTCGTTACGCTAGACTATGGTATAAACGACATAATAACGGTTCGCAAATAATCATGAATTGAAAAAAATACAACGAACTTTCAATTACACATGTTATTACCACCCTATTTTATGAGCATAATATATTATAGGAGGCTACTTTTTACGAGAACGCCCCGCCATTGTTAATTTATCGATATTTCTGCAAAAGTAACTTTTGGAAGAATGCATGGCAACCATAAGACCTTCGAAATTCCAATTATTTTGGCTGTTTTCATGGCTCAGCTATAGTCTTTTTGGAAAAGTTCGTCCAGATTATGGCGCCGCATACGATGACGTAAAATGTAACACCATCACGTTACTGTAAATAACGCAATTAAGCTCAGCGTAAGTCCTTTGTTCTCATTCACACGGAAAAAATAAATAATGGCTGCTTTTTAATAATAATAATAAAAACGTTGCTTATAAAGTGCTTACCACCGAAGTCACTAAGCGCTGTAACAAAAAAATAGACTGATAAACAATTACATATTAAACAAAAGTGCAAATAAATCTACAAATAACAATACATATAAATACACATCAATGTGAACGAAGTAAGTTAATCACCAAAAGCAATTTTGAATGAATGTGCAACCATTTCTAAATACTTGGATTTAATACACATGAAGGATATTACAAATTTGGAAACAAATTTTATTATGATCTTGAATTATAGACTAACATTTTTTTTGCCAGACCGAGTTGGTTCTTACCTCTCCGGATTCTTTATCTCTTCAACAATCATAGCAATACTCTCCCTGTAGGAAAAACAATAACACCGTTAAATGAGATTTGAGACATTTTGGAGACATTAATACAGAGGGGAAATTGTACGTGTCAATTAGTAAAATCAAATGAATCAGTTCGTTGCGTCGCTGTCATAAGGTATATTTACACTTAATAAGTTTTTATAAGGCGACATAGGTGTGTGTAATGAAGGTGACTAAACTAAGACTGATTATGGGAAGACTTTTGGATATTTTGCTTGAAACAGCAATCAAACTAATAATTATATTCTGGGTTTATAGCGATTAATATATCGGCGATATCTCTAAGCGCTATAAAGATACATGTATTACTGGCACACATTGTGGATTGATGTCTTGCCAAAGGACGTTAGTGCCGGGCTGGGATTCGAACACTGAACCATTGAATTATGAGTCAAGTGAATGAACCGCTAAGCCACGACACCCCCATCGCCGATCACACAACATAATTTTGCTCAACTTTTCTTCGATCAGCTTCCCACAATTTTTTTTATGAGAACCAGCAATATGTTTATTGAAACTATATCATTGGGGGCTTCCCCTGTATCAGCTGCATGATAAGTCTTGAAAAAGGATGAATAATAACAAAACCCGAAACGAATAGCTACCATCCTCCGAACGCGAATATTCCACTGTAAATAGCCATAGGTATATTGACGTCCATTGGAATGTCAAATGCATCAGTCAGGTTGCTCGTGTTGCCTGTATTATAGGGAGGAAAATGATGGATAGAAAAATTCGTATGTTCTTTCACATTCACCTGGAATTATAATCATGACTAATAATTTATAATGGCGCATACAGAAATAATGTTTCTTATATTGGCACAATTCCACTAGTGTATCATTTTATTGTGGCTATAAATTTGTAACAAGAATTGTATAATTATTTAGTAAGGTAAGAGCACATATTTTTTGTTTTGGTCCCGGAAAGTGGAAAATTTTGCCGACCGATATTTTGTTCAGGGGGGGGGGGGGGGTAGGTCTCTTTTCTCTCTCACTCTTTAGCACATTTTGTTTTGTTTACACTTGTAAAACAAAAAAAGTGAGGGGGTGGGGGTTATCCTCCGATACCCACACATTAAAGAAAAAATTGAGGGGGTGGGGTATTAACCCCAAAACCTCCCCTCTGTGTACGCGCCATGTCCCAAAATGCATCACTAACTGGTGACGCGTGCATGATAACGTTTGGTTACAGGAACCGGAAATATTATGAACGCCTTTACCAAAATATGACGCAATTGGAAATAAATTATTATCATTATTATTAAGTATTCGGCGTCACTTGTGCCTGGGAGGCGAAAAATAAAATGAATTACTGTAACCGTCGGGTCTTTCCTCCCGGTATAACTGATTGGGGGTGTGCAGGTGGACCACTACACAGGGATTTCCCCCTACTCTTATACGAATAGCGCAGTGGGTTCTTAACGTGCAATAACATCATTGGTAGCACTGGTAGCGATGTCGGTAAAATACCCTAACTTTAAATTGGAGAAACGACCGAATCGGGCGCAAAATAGCAGAAAATTATGGAAACGATATAATATGAATTCAATCATAGTGTAAAACTCACCTCTGCATATGTATACGAGTCCGGTGATGATGAGGACAAACAGACCAATAACCTTTGTGATGGTCAGAGTGTTTATAAGACGAGAAGACCATTTCACACTGACACAGTTGATAAAGACCAAACCAACTATAAGTATAACAGAAGATAGACAAACAAACAATAAATGATTTAAAAAAAAACATAAGAGATTTGTTTTTAATTATTTTTTTAAATGGGATATACATCTCTATCAAGTAATGACCAGATAAATATGCAGTCATAAGAGTATAAACCAATTGAAACGAAAATTTAGATAAACGTAGAGTCTGGATAAGCGATTTTCTTTCAAGCAATAAGTTCGACACTTACGCCAATCGAAAAAGTAACTCAACCCCCCCCCCTCGATCAAATTTAAGGGAAAAAAGAATGGGAAAGAGGGACAGATGGAGGATCAGAGATGGGGGGGGGGGATAAACATGCATTCGTGAATAAGAGTACTTCAAGACTCCTTGCCCTTCCAAGCGGCAAGATTAGTTTTCATTGGATTAATTGATTTCTAACTGTCCTGTCGGCATTGAGAAACTTACAGATGACTACGACAGCTATAAGTCTGATGGCATCGACCGGTACATGCTCACAATCAGAGAAGAACGGTGTGGTAAGATAGTTTGCGATGGTGATCCCCTGAATAGCTGAGATGCAAGGCATGATGATAGCTAAGATGGTCCACATTCTCAAGAAGGCTAGGACCGGTCCAAAGTGTTCCAGTATGAAGATAAACTCTCCACCGGACTTGCCAGAGGTAAGACTGAGTTCAGTATAGCACATAGCTCCACATGTTGCTATTGAAGCGCAAATGACCCATATCACTAACGAGAGACCTACTGACCCACCTGATCCAGCCAGAACACCTGATAATATAGAATGATAACAATGATAAAAAATAAGGATAAACATGATAATAATATCAGTTGACAGGTCAACGGGATTGACTCAGAAGACACATAAGTATTGTTAGAATTTTTTCTTGGAAAATGTGATTATTTTGAAGCATTGTCGGCTTGTTCTTAAATCTTTGACCATTCTTTTCTGTGTTTGCTGAATTTTGAAACCTTTGTCGGAATTGGCGAAACCAGTTTTTACCCTTGTCAAACAATTCTTGTTGTGCTCGTTTGTCTGCATTTTTGCTGCTTACTGATAACGCCACAAAATCACAATTCACTGAAATAAATTATCTAATTTCATTACTTAATGAAAGATCAATTACATTTTTCTTCTGTGTTTTTTTTTTTTTTTTTAGATGAGTATTGGATGAATCGCCTCCTTGTCCCTTTCACAAATATACTAATGCCTCACTCTTAACAAATTTAGACATGAATCAACAACAGGTGATAAATTTCAGCGGAGGTCTCTAGAGGATTGTTAACCTCTTTCTCAAAACTTTTCATCAAACCAAATATGGGCCATTCGGGGGTTATTTAAGTTATTGTTTAGTCTATTGTCGGTGTCGTGTTGGTTAGACATCAGCTGAAACAAAAGGCATCAATCAACAATTCATCTTTGAACCCACCAACGTCGTGTTGTTTATGTGGTGCCGTACGTGATTCTCCTATGATATCAATAATGGCATGAATTTCCAACAGAAGGCGAACACTCGGTCGACAAACACCTGTCATCAATAAACATCATATCGTTCTACGGGTGTTTTCGTTCGAGTTTCGTGATAGATATTTTGGTGCTACATGAGAACTAGGTAAATATTCATGGGCCGTTCATTACTTTGGCTTAGTGTACAGTTCATTGGGGATCACATACAATTGAAATGTCACGACATCAAACATGTTATTCAGGTACTAATATATCTGTAAAGCGCTTAGACACATCGTTGTATCGATGTATTGGGCGCTATATTAAAGCAGAATATTATTATTATTATTATTATTACAAAATATTATGGGTAGATAAAAAAAAAAAAAATTAGATTTCTAACAATATTTTCAAATATTCATTGTCCCTACATAGCCTCTTGCTGTATTTCTCAACACTATCTAGCTCTTATGGAGCTCTTCATCCTATGTACGTTTAATTCCTAAGAGTTTTAGCAAGGAAATTGTATAATCATTCAGTTAAAATACTATAGGATTGAAATCATTTTGTAGACCATTTAAAAACTAATATCAATACTTTCTATCCAAGGTAAGGACAAATAAAAGCGAGCTCAGCTAATCATAAAACAAGTAATCCAGAAAAAGAGATATATTTAAAGAATACAATTATTTGCAGGATGCGAATGAAGAAAAAGGTTTGACGATAATTTACCTGCTGGAGAAATGAAGATACCAGTACCAATAATGATACCCATCACCATGCCAATGCATCCAGGGAGACCAACATTCCTACCAAGAACGATCGGTTCCGATGATGATGATGATGCTTGCTCGTCCATCTCATCTGGTCTATTCCTTATTTCATCTTGAGACATGGTATCAGCTTCGATTAGATGATTACTGCAGAAGAAGTATAAGGAGAGAGAGAGAGAGAGAGAGAGAAAGAGAGAGAGAGAGAGAGAGATAGAGAGAAAGAGAGAGAGAGAGAGTGTGTAAACAGTTTCTGTATGCGTGCAACTGGTACCTAAACCCCCCCCCCCCACAATCGTGTAAAGACCAATAGATTCACATCAGGGACGTGTTTCATTATGTTTCATGGTACTGGTTGTGCTCTCCTTCACAATGTTCATGTTCTGATACAAATGTACATAATTATGTACCCAGTTACTCAGAGGTTAAAGCCCCATTGTCCTACTTGTAGCTACTTGCTCCTTCTATATAGAAAACTTCCGAAATCGGTGCCTGTTGGTCCCCCATGATCCTCTTTTCTTATGTTAGTTGAGAGCTGAGTTAATGAGATAGCCACCTGTCAGTGACCTTGCTGTGTGGTCTAATCCCTTCTGTCCCAGTAGTAATGACGGTCTTTAGGAAAATGGCCTGGGAAACACGATAGAACTACTTTCGAAAAATCATCCTAGGACCCAAGGCAATTTCACTAGCCTTGTGAGACACCTGCTGATCATGATGTGCGACCATGACTATGGAGTATTACGGAATCCGAATATGATTTCTGTGGCACATACAATAGGGTATTGATATTGCCTTTGAATGATTTTTTTTTGGTAAAATGAATTTATTGATAAATATATTCTTTTGAACAAATCAAACAATCATACACAATCAATTGAAATAACATTGTAGCATCTTAACATAGTTTAAATAATGTTTCGTTTTCTTGAATAACCATTAATAGTGTTTTCAAAAATGCATAGCTTTTTTGTTTTACAGTTCCTTTCGATCTTTAATCGGTTGTGGATTAATCTTTTGAAAATACAAAGAATAGAGACTTCATGAAATTGCCTTTGAATTGATTTTTCGAAAATAGTTGCGATGCAAGTGGAATCCAGCGATCGTGTTTGAGGTGAATCGGTTTACTGACTGATGTAATGGCGTCTTTTTCGGACACTTTTTCAAAAAGAAATTACATGATTAAACCATGAGACCAATTATGCAATTCTCGCTACCCCAAATAGCGATTCTGCCGAGATCCGGGGAAAATCCTGAAAAGCGCATTGCATTATGGGATAGCTTTTCGACATTACAGCTTCCTGTGCAGGCGTTCGTGATCACAACCCTCTCTTTCACGGTAGAGTTTAACGGCCTTTTGTGCTAAAGTCACTAATTCTGCCCGAAGCTTTCCATTGCATATTATAATCTGTACAAATTACACTGATTGGCATCGATTTTAGCGTGCGTGAAAACTCTGCACAGCGAACACAGGCGCTAGCGCCAGCGGGATGGGACTCTATACCGGAAGTTGTAGTGACGACCCGAGAGAGTGAAAATTACCTCGTCTCGCGAATTTCGAGATTTTCGTACCTATTTAGGGTAGCGAGAATTAACATATAAGATCACAAATATCCACAAACCTCTTAAACACGGAATGGTCCAATTTTGTGCATTTTAGAAATAGGGATTCTTTGTGAATAACTTATGTTTCATCATAATAAAGTGATGTTTCCATAAACATGTTTAGTGACGCTTCCATCTCGTCCAACAACTAAATTTGTTCTCTCACGATGTCATGATGAAAACTCACCATCTACATAACACAAGCACGTGCCCCCCCCCCCCCCAGTCTGAGAATCCTGGATACGCCACTCGTATTGCAACTCGTATTGCATCACGTGCATAAAATATATCATACTAGGTCGAATCATTATATTCGATCCAACTTCGATCTTGTTACTGACTTACATGCTTATAATACAAGAAATAGCCGATTCAACTTTAACTTACCAGAAAGAGTAGGTAGTATTGGAAATTCGTTTTATTACAATGCCATAAAACATTGGAATTCCCTTCCCAATGGTGTAAAGGAAATAGAAAACTATGCTCATTTTAAGAGGAAATTAAAGGAATACCTAATACTTGACAGTCAGATAAGAGAAGTAAATGACATGTTATATGATTGAACTTTGTATTCTTCTGCCGGTTCATACTTTTTCATTTTGTATATACTTATGTTTTCGTACGTTATAGAAATTCTACAAATTCATCATTATTTTCCTCTTCTTCCTCCGCCTCTTTTTCGTCTTCTCCTTCTTCCTTTTCTTCTTGTACTTATTATCATTTCTATCATCAGTTTAATGTTGTTATTATTATTATCTTTAATAAGTAATTCTTTTATTTTTCTTATTTGTCTGTAAATAATTATTACTATTTTAAGTTATTAATTTTATACATGTCTGTAAGGGACCCCACTGGAAATAAGCTCTTGAGCTTTCGTGGGTTATCCTGTTCAAGCTGACTTATTTCTGATCTGTTATTATTGTATATTGTTGTATGTTGGAAGCTTGTCGAATAAAAATCAATCAATCAATCAATCACTGGTACTGGTGATACTGACTTTCATCGCAGATCAATATAGCTTTCCATGAACACATTTCAGGTAAATTATCCCAGGTACATTTAATTACAGTTAAGCGAAGTAAGTGAACAAAATACACGGGGGCTCGGGACGAATTAGCCCCCGAAATGCCCAAAAGAGCCCCAGAAAGTCATAAAAGAGCCCCCCAAAATTTGCATAGAGTTCATTGCAAAACAAATTAAAGAGTGTTATTTTCATGCAATCAAGGTTATTTTAGCGAACAGGTTTCAATATGGACATTGGTATAGTGGAATCAACTGGAATCAACTGGATTCGAGTTGAGAATTGCAACTGGTACCAGTTGGAATATCAGTTGTACCATAAGTGATTACAAACAATTTGAAGAAAGGGTACCAAAAAGTCATTTGGCGAACGGTGTGTGAATTTCAAAAAGGAAATCACATTTCCAGAAATTGTATTTTCTGCCCTTTCATATGACACCTACACCTCAATTAGGCAAAATGAGCCATAATTGTTATTAAACGAAATTGTTTCACTGGCTGCCTGCCGTAACAACAAACAATAAACTCCGTTTCGTTGACGATCAGCCATGCATGAAGTCTTTCGTCGTCTTTGTTGTTATAGAACAGACAAGCCAGACAGCCAGTGGAACGGATTCGTTTAATAAAAATATGGAAATGCAAGCATTACTTTAAACAAACAGAGCTTTGTTATTCCTGGCTCATTTGTCCTGATTGAGGTGTCATATGAAGGGCAGAAAATGGACCTTCTAGAAATACGATTTTCTCTTTGAAATTCAGATACTGTTCGCCAAAGGACTTCATGATACCCTTTCTACAAATTGTTTTCAATCACTCTTACGTAAAAAATGCATCATACGAGTTGCATCAAACGAAAGAGGAGGATCTAAGCTTTACAAATATGTGTCATTTGTTAATTATAATTGTGATTAAGTTATGATAAAACATCGATAATTCTCGGTTTCGTTTTTTTCTGGGACGCACTGTATAATCTGTATCGGCATCTGGCCACCAACTAGACCATATTATATAGACTCTTGCAAGTTGCAATTACTCCATCACAAAGATCATTCGAAGGGGATTACAGATGATTATAGAGGAAGATATAGTTTTTTTCTTAAAGTAGTTGTAAAGTATGGTAATAAATCAAACAAACTCAGTGGGAATTAGCTAGACAAAGTCAACGTGAATTAAACTCACCTGCACAACATCATGCATATCATCAAACAAGATCAGTCCATTTTACATCATGAATTCATGTAACACAGATTCAATTTATAATTGATTTTCAAGGGCATTGACGGACTCGAAGAAAAGGTGGAACATTTTTTTCTCGACAGAACTGTGCGGCAGCAGTTCAGTATATACTATACATATATACATGTATCACATTTACTAATTCTCGAACAATAATAATTGGCCGGGAGCGAGTGTTTTCGGGGATCACATTATTACTATTTGTTATATTACTATGTTGTAAATATGTTTGTACTCTTATACCCCGAGAGGGGATAGATAGAGTTAATAAAACCTTACAATCGATCTTACAATCTTACCTAGCCTGCATGCACGTTATGATATATGCATCACGACTGCTTTCGAAAGGATATACGTATACTATAAATATTTCGCATTTTTATTCCTCATGACCAGACCACACACACGGACATGACGGATACAGAGTCGCATGATAACCTCACATCACATTGCTTGAAAATCATTCTCAAAATGCTACTCTATTATAATAATTAATACACTCACCTCATTCAACAGAGCTCATACGCACTGCACCGCGAACCAGAATTAAAAGTACTTCGTGTAACTTTGTAGAGCCAAGGATGATGGCACCTGACCTAAATATCACAACTGATACAAAGAGTTAGTCTAGAAGTATTATCATCGACCGAATATGCTAGAGTTAGAATCCAGCGTGAAAGTACAAATTGTACAATCAACCATGGAGTTATGAATCAACTTACCAACCAACCATGCAGTCAGTCTGCAACGAATACCAGCAACTATACGTCTAACCACGTAACTCTCCAATGGCTCGACATCAATACGGTGAGAAGACTTTCACAAACAGATCCGGATGGTTGCCGTGAGAGGTCAAATTCCTATAGTCCCACAGATCGGAGCGATCGAGTGTACAGTACAGTATGCATGGACCTACCTACATGCTCTCCACTATACCCTTTCATCTCATCATTCATTCGATCGGGTGGTTGCCAAATTCTATAAATATCAGTCACACGGGCAGGCCGTTTGAAAGAAATCCACTACTCTTTCAATAAGCCTTCAAAATGGGCGGGAGCCTGTTGGATACAGGTGTATTCAATTTATTTGAGTGTGAAAGAATTTGCTTTGCTATACTTTCTGACCAGATATTCTCTCTAGATATTGGATAGATATATGTACCCATTTACCCATGATGTATTTCTAAAAAGAAAGAAACTAAACAAAAACAGGTACAGGGACCTTGCATGACCCATTAAGCATCATCACTGTTTTGGATCTTAGCCATCACATCCCGACCTTTCTCCTTCCCTCTGATCTTATGCTGCCCTTCTCTTCATCTCTCCCGTTCATATTTGTCTACAGCTTCTCTTCCTAGGGAGGGAGTCCCGCCCCCCCCCCCACTCAGAGGTCGGAATGACCGCATGCGTGTTGCCAAAATGTCCGGTAAAGGGGTACTTTTCGTGCGACAAAGTCCGGCCCGAGAATTGTAAAAAAAGGGGTGTATTTGACTTTTCACCCGGAGATTTCTTTAAAAAGGGGGTGTTTTTCTTTTTTTCTCTCATCTCTTTGGACTCCTGAGAAATTATTCCGAATTTAGGGGGGTACATTGAGCATTTTTCCTGATTTAGGGGGGTCTCCAAGGCAGGAAAAGCACGCGAAAAGCCCGCGAAAGGGGGGTTCGGAAATGTTGGCAGTCCTCAGATAGGGGGTGCTTTCAAAAAAAGGGTACGAGCATATGCGTACCCTAAATAACACTGAGTGGGGGGGGGGGGCCGGGGAGGGAGTGTAAGCATGACCTGTGTGTGGGTGTGAGAGAGAAAGAGAGAGAGAGAGAGAGAGAGAGAGAGAGAGAGAAAGAGAGAGAAAGAGAGAGAGAGAGAGAGAGAGAGAGAAAGAGAGAGAGAGAGAGAGAGAGAGACAGAGAGAGAGACAGAGAGAACCTACAGTAGAAACTTAAAGATAAACGTGAGTTCTGGTAAAAAAAAAAGAGAAAATTAATTCTCACAGAATCAAACGAAACTTACACTGAATGTTCAAGATTACAAATAAATGTCATTTGCCAAACAATTTTGGTAGAAAATGTATACTGGCTGAGTAATGAGCATTGTGTAGTCCCATATACATCTTTCTGTGTATAGTGCTTGTTACTTTACAAAGACTGGGCCAAATTTATTATGATTTTGATGACTCTAGAACTTTGCAGTACATACGAATACTTACATGCTACCTGATCAACTTTTTCTGATCCATTCCACACCTTTTCTTTCACAATGCAATCGGATGACCAGAACTCAACTTTATCTTTAATTATCACCATACCAATTATAATAATAATAATAATAATTAACCGTTTTTGTATAGCGCATAACACATAGTATTAAAACATGTCCCTAAATTCAAAGCACTTCGATTTGTAAGCCTACTCTTTGTCGGATTCTAAATAGAACATCCCCATTTTTCAGGCGAGAGCTTAGTGTCTATGTGCATGGATCTACTCCATAGTATATGTTACTCAAAATGTATTATTGACAAATGCAAATCATTACTGATCTTCATTTTTTTCAACATTCACAAGTTTTCTTTAATGTTTATGTAATCTTTCTGAAATTACATGTAACTAGTTTCTCTGATTTCTTTTCCTTTTTTCCCTGTAGTTTTCCGTTCTATTCCTGTTAGTTGGAGACGTTGATACAAAATGGTGCCCCCACTGAATATATTCAACTCAACTCCGCCGTGATTTACTCTCATTCACCTGTTCAAAAAACGGGGTTTATATTCCCACTGAGCATCGCCCCCTTCAGAATTCTCACACATTACGCTATAAATAATATACTATAATTCATATACTTGCGTTTCGAATTATCAGTAAAAAATCTGAAGATTTAAGACGGGATAACACATGTGTTTTAATGGCAGTTGGATACGACTAAAGAACCTCCCGCAAAGAGTTACCAATGGCAAGAAAAGAAGAGTATTTCTTGCTAAGAATTAGCACCAGTAATACCCATCGCACACTGACTACGATCTGACTACGATCCTGTAAACATGCAAACTTAAAAGAAATTATAATAATCGAGGATCATATGCTTCATAAAATCTAAATGTTAAGCATTAAAGGTACTATGTCCCATTTGCAGGCCAAAAAATGAAAAAGTTAAATTCCAACTGCATTTGAAAGATAATACTTATTTAGAACTTTCCTAAAAAAGGTGGGGCTTGAAAATGTGGGAAAATAATGACTATGAGTTGTCAAATCGACTTTAGGGTTATAGAGCCCAAAAGTAATAGTCTTGATTTTCAGACAATTGTACCGAATGGTCTTACATTTTATGCTGCGCAAAGATTCAATCAGTTTAATGTTGGCCATCACAAGAAGTGGGTTATTGATGTAGACAAATGCTCATGTACCCTTTACAACTCTTTTCATGTATGTTATTACCAAAGAAGAAAAAAGCCAGTCAGTCACTCAATAGTGTCTGACAGTGAAGTCTAGCAAGTAAACGGGTTTCCTTGCATAATTTGAATATGAGGACACTGCTAACGCTTAAATTTCACAGATAGAACATACATGACATTTTCATGATTCCTGCAAAGTTCTACAGAATTTGAGGTTGGCTGCAAAAGGGACATAGTACCTTTAAGGGATTTCAAGCTTCTTTGGTAAAGATAATGTTAAATCAGCTCAGATGATAATACAGACCAGTTGTGTGATTGTCTACGATTTGAAACCGATTCGAATTTAATTCTGACTAGAAGGCTACAATGCACGGTTCTTATTTATTTTCAACATCATTCAGAACCAACATTGGGAAGATGATGTTAGTTCAGATTTTCATATCTATAATTGCCATATCTTTACAAACCGCATCGTACGTATGTCCATACATTTGAACTATTTCTAGTTTGAAAAAACACTCCAATATCTTTTCAAACGTTTTGTGATAAATCTATGCAGGGGCGGATCTAGCTTTTTGCTCAGGGGGGGGGGGGGTTGACCAATAATGACGATGCGGAGCATCGTCCACGAGCCGCAAAGCGGCGAGCCGATTTTTTTGGGGTGTTTATTTGAACCCCGTAAGTGATGTTTTCCTGGCATCTATTAACACAATGGAGACCATAAAAAGCAGTGCATGATAACGTCTTTTTAAATCAAGTAACAGTTAAATACACAGTTATATCCAGAGTTATCATGTGTTTGGTTAAGTTACCAGATGAGTTGAATATCTTCTCACAATATTTGCACTTGAAAGGGTTTCTCTCCAGCGTGCGTTCTTTTTTCTTTCTTTTTTTCTTTTTTTTTTTTCTTTTTTTTTCCTTTTTTTTTTTTTTTTTTTTAATGTGGGGATTTTGGGGATGAGAATCGGCAACGCTGGCCTAGCTTGTCACTTCGGCGGTGGCCCGTGTCCTCAAAAAAGCTGATGGGGGGGGGGGGGGGGGCAAGGGACTCTGTGACATTTGCTCGCCCAACCCCCCCCTCCCCCAAAAAGAAATAATAATAATAATAATAATAATAATAATAATAATAATAATAATAAATGAAATAAATACATAGAAATAGAATAAAATAAAATTACAAGTTTAAAAAAAAAGATAAGATTTAAAAAAATGGTCCACGGATTTTTTTTTGGGGGGGTTGCAACCCCCCAACCCCCCCTCTAGATCCGCTTCTGCAATGCCCGATTTAAAATGTTTTGGTTGCCACTTGAATATTATTAAAATGTGACTTTAAAAGTAAACTACTGATCTGAAAGACAGGCAATTCCCTCCAGTTTTAATAGGACCCCTTCTCTAGTTTCCGTTACGATCCCTCAACGATCTCGAATACAACATGTTTGCTCTTTGAATACATTTTGAATCAGAGTGTTTTATGTCTAAAATAATGATAAAGAATAGTATTAATTAAGACACGTAACGTGAGAAGAGAGAATGAAAGTAGAACATGTTATAATGACGTCACATGATCTCACAGGGCGTTGTGTGAATGTTGTGATGGTGTATTGTGTCAAAAGGCCACCTCTGACCTTTCACATGTTGGTATATGTGTCAAGTGATCAAACACTCATGGATTTGGTAATATCGCTGAGAGGGAATCCGCTGAGAGATACTCGACAAATAGAATAGGCATGCTAGGTTATGTAAGGAAAACCCATCGAAAGTTATTACTGAGAGCAAGATTTGCAATGTGAAGGAATTTTTTTTCCCTAGCGGGGGGGGGGGGGGGGGGGGGGTGGTTCGGAAAAATCTCTGGATCCTGTTTGGGAAAATGTGAACCCTGGTGACATAATGTTAACATGAAAACTGATTTGTGTGTGTGTGCGTGTGTGTTTGCGTGTGTGTTTGCGTGTGTTTTTTTTTTGTAGTCGTTGTTTGTTTCACGCTTTATTGAACATTTTGCAACGACTTCTGTTGACTAGTCGGGAATAATGTTAGGAGGCCCCTCCCTTCTATATTTGATATTCAAGAAACTCCCCTGATCTTGCAAATAGTTGAATTGATAACTTTTCAAAATGATGTCATGACATTTAAATTATCTAAATCGCATTCTACCAGTGACATTGAAAATGCTTGAGAGCAGGGCTCAAATTAAATTTTTGTCCACGGGGGCTCTTCTAAAAAAAAGAGCCCCCGTGAACCTTCTCACGGGGGCTCTTTTAGTGCTGACGGGGGCTCTTATTTTGATACAAATTTCCATTGGATGAAACTCCTAAATTCCTTGGTATTTTATCATTATCATTTATTTAAGTCGGCATTCTCCCTCTTAAAAATTTACTTGTTACATAGCTGTATACTTGGGCCGCCCCACCCCCCCCCCTGGGAAAAAAGAAGGGGGAAAAAAGGAAAATTTTCTTCTTTCTTTTTTTTGAAAAAAGAAGTGTTCCTTTCCCACTTGTATCACAGAGAAACAACAGTTTAAGTTAAGTCTAACGTTAACGTTAATTTGTTATTAAAATGTAGAGTACAGCCCTTGGCCTTAGGCCTACTTTAGGT